CCAGAATTCCTCAGCCAGCTTAGCTGGCTGAGGAATTCTGGGAGTTGAAGTCCACAAGTCTTAAAGTTGTCAAGGTTGGACACCCCTGTTTTAAAGCAACGTAATTTCCAAAGACCTATGACAATATGTGGTTAAAATCAGATCACATTATAGTAATTCAATTATTACCGTATATAAATTTATATATCAATAATACAAGTATAAAATAAGTATAAAAATGGCCTCCAGCAAGCAGAAGTCAGTTCCTGCAGGCTCCATTTTGCCAGCTATTGGATGCAAAATGGACACGATTCTTGTCTTGCTGAAAAGGGGCATCACTGAACATTTTGTAATTCTGGGGAAATCTTTTCACCTTGAGGTTACCGTCATTTTACTTTTTTTGTATTAAAACATTCTTCTTATTTTCTGCTTGTTTTTGTTTCCTCAGTTAGAAGTTTCCGGTTCTCTTCTTTGTCTGCCAGAATACAATATCATCAGCATATCTTAAACTCTTTTATTTTTATACCATCTATTGACAATTCCATTACATGCTGAATTAATCAAATATTTCTCCATAGACATTGAAAAGGTGGGAGCAATAAGACACATACCGAGTGGTCTTCTTTATTGGATTGAAAACTCCTTTGAAAAACGTCCTTCAAATGAACTTGTTCCCAGTATATATTATTTTAAATAAATACATACGTTTTGTCATTAGATTGACAAAAATGTATGCAAGGGCAGCTTGATAAACTATATATCAGGGTTGGGGAATGATGGCCCTTTTATGACTTGTGGACTTCAACTCCCATAATTCCTGAACTAGCATAGCTAGCTCAGGAATTCTGAGAGTTGAAGTCCAAGAGTCATATAGGGGCCATTGCTTCTCACCTCTGCTCTATATAAACAAAAAATATTAAATTCTTCTAAATATTTCCAGGGACTAAACTGCCATTTCTGTATTATGTGTGCTGAATTCATGTATCACAGTCCCTAAAATCCAACCCAGTGCACTTTAGCCAAGCAGGATTTATAAAGCCAGCTGCTTTGTGCGTGACAAGAGTGACAATTTCCTCACCGAATAGATTTCCATGGACACACATACTTTACTAATACAGTAGTATTAATCCCGAACACCTGTTCCTCACCATATATACCTTATTTTAGGGCCCCAAGGGTGAACCGGGGAAGAGTGAAATGGTAGACTACAATGGCAATATCAATGAAGCTTTACAGGTAAGGAAATAGCAGATATACTATAGACACCAGATTATCATGTCAATGCTTCTGTGAACCTTTTCATTAATTATTGCAATTTGCTATTGATTGATTGATTATATGCCATCAAGTCATTTTAGACTCCTAGCAATCATGTAGATTTTCTCTGTGATCATAACTTACCTGTTGTTTGAGGTCTCCCAATGGTATATTCATTGCCAAAGGAACTGAATCCATCCATCTTGCTACTGGTTGTCCTCTTCTTCTATTTCCTTTATCTTCTTCTCTTTCCTTTGTCTTCTCTTTGCTAAAGTCCCCTCCCTCTTTCCAATAATGCTTGTTCTCTTTTCTGCAGTCCTTTTCTCTTCCTCTAATGCTTTCTTCCTCTTCTTCCTCTTTCTTATAGTCCTATTCCTCTTTCCTCTTTGCTTACATGCAGAATAATTGGGGGGTTACATATAAATTGTGCTGTAGCGTATGATTAAATCACATTATTTATTCTGTTTTACTCTTCCTTTTTCTAGAAACATAAATAATGATGGTAGCGTTGAATATATGGGTCTAGACTATTGTTATAGACTGAATGGCACTAGCTAATTATATCACTTCTCATATCATTCCAAAGTAAACCCTAATCCTGTGAAATAGGTATTGGGAGCAACAGGTGGAAAGACACCTGTGCATTAACTGGCAGATTGATTGTCTGAAAAAAAAAATTAAAATTATTTAAATCATAGCTTACCTATCATACTTTAACATCTATGATAGACATATAGGTACAGGTAATGTTTAACACACAATTGTTCTTTCATTCAGGAGATACGAACATTGGCCCTCATGGTGAGTTAATCTTCTTTTCTATAAGATGTGGTTCTTAATAAAAACTTAGTTAAATAGGGGAACAGGCTAGCAATTCCGGCAGAATGATGTATTATAAATGCCGCACATGAATAAATGGGGAATTCATCCTTTCCTAGAGTGATGGGTTAGATATATAAGCTTTCATTGTTCGTCATTTCAGAATTTTATCCTAGCACATGAAGCTGGGAAAAGTATCTGTTGATAGATACCTTCTTGCATCTCAGTGGGATATAGCAGTGGTCTCCAACCTTGGCAACTTTAAGACTTGTGGAGTTCAACTCCCAGAATTCCTCAGCCAGCAAAGCTCTTCCCCTCCCAAAAATCAACGGTGGCAACTACAGTAGTTACTAAAAGGGTATATGCAGGATTTGTCCTCCTATTCGAGGGAACAAAGCATCCGTTTTTGGTCCTATATTCATCTCACCTTGTGACTTTCTTGGAGTACAAAATGGCAGCCCAGAAAAGAAATAGTTTGTGGGTGACTAGGAGGAAATAAACAGGAACTCTTTACAGTTCAGAAGGCCATCTCCATACACAAAGCTAACTCCCATGATTTATTAATACACGAGCCAATGAGAGCGGAGGAGGAAATCAGGTGTATATCCTTGAATTCCCCTCACTATTCCCCTCACTGGATATATTGGATGACACTTTCCATAATTCCCAGCCAGCTTGACCAACACTAACACAGTGGGAATGTCAGGTTCTTCCTCCTACATTTTACAGGTGCATCCAGTACTTAACTGAGACTGGTAGATAAACTAATTTTGGCATTCTATTCATTTGCCAGGGTAATTAGGGTATTGAAGAGTGATCAATAGTCTAAGACAGAAAGGCACTCAGTAATATCTCCCTCCCCCCATTTGACCTTTGTCTACTCTAAGGAGCTTGAAAGAAATTGATTATATATACACCACATTCATGTGTGTGTGTGTGAGAGAGAGAGAGAGAGAGAGTGATGGGATTGAAAAAAATTTACTACCAGTTTTGAGGGCGTGGCATGACTTGGTGGGCACGGCAGGGGAAGGTTACTGCAAAATCCCCATTCCTTCCCCACCCCCACTAACCTGCTTTCCAGCTCCGTTCTCATGTGCAGAGAAACCAAAGAAGACACAGCTGATCAGCTGGGACTTGGGAGGCAGAGAATAGATGGGGGCAGGGCCAGTCAGAGGTGGTATTTGCTGGTTCTTCAAACTACTCAAAATTTCTGCTACCGGTTCTCCAGAACTGGTCAGAACCTACTGAATATCACCCCTGGTGTGTGTGTGTATACAGATATACAGTATGGCATTCAGCTTTGTTCGGGTATTTTCCCACGTCATTGTAGTTGTGCTTTTAAAGTTGTAGCAACGTTTCGGCAGAATCTCATCTGCCATCATCAGGCTTCTGTATTATGTGTGCTGAATTCATGTATCGCAGTCCCTAAAATCCAGCCGAACACAATACAGAAGCCTGATGACGGCAGATGAGATTCTGCCGAAACGTTGCTACAACTTTAAAAGCACAACTATAATGACGTGGGAAAATACCCAAACAAAGCTGAATGCCCCATACATACATACATACATACATAAATACATACATATACATACACACACACACACACACACACACACACACACACACACACACTTTATTCCAAATAACAATACTATTTTAAAAAAAGAAAGAGAAATAAATAATTATAATTATATGCTGTTAAACCATGAAGGTTTTTTCTCTCTCTATCAGGGACCTCCTGGTCTTCCAGGCATTGCAGGACCAGCTGGACCGCCTGGACAGAAGGTAATTCCCTCAGTCTTTCCTAACAGTCAGCGAAGATAAAGCCTTTTCCATCTGCTTAATTAAAATTGAATGAATATGATGAAAATTGAACAGAAGCAGAGGAAGATACCGTCCTTCTTATCAGATAATCTTCATCCAGACATGGATCGCACTGTAAAATGCACTACAACGAAAACACTACGAAAGCTTTTGCGGTGCAAATGGAATTGACAACTTGCTAATAGGAGATTTCCCAATGCAGCAAATGTTTGTCTTTGGTCCTGCTGATCACCCATCTTCTTTTAATTCATTATTAATTCATATGATTTATATAGCTGCGTATGTCACAGAAATGACTGTGGATAGCTTGCAAGATGGCTGGATGACTGTAGCTCACTACAGGGAAAGAAGAAGGGGATGAAATGTGTGTGCCTCATTTTCCTATCTGGCAGAAAATTAGATTGTAGCTGACACAATTATATCCTGTTAACAATCTAAATTCAAGAACAACTTAGCGACCCAAAGAACAAGCATTATTTTCACTCTTGGAACCTAACGAATTTAAGTTATAATTCAACTTTTAGTGCTAATTGATCCACAAATTCTTGAATGAAATGGTTCCCAAATTTCATAAAATTTAGTAAATTTAGTGTTTAGTAAAAGTAAAAGTATTGCGTAAAGCAGTGGCTGCCAACCAGTGGGCCTGGGACAAATTTTGGTGGTCCGCAGAGAAATGTCATCCCCAAAGCACCCCCCAAAGCAATTAATCGAAGCTGCGTGGGAACACAAGCCTGCGCCGCCCACATGGGCCGTGGGAACACAAGGCTTGCATCGCTTGCATTGTGAACAACACGAGGTAGTAAGGGGAGGGGGGAAAGGACAGAAGGGGGGAAACTTGCCCCATGCGCCCCACGTGCCTCACCTGGCCACTGAGCTGCTTCTTTCCATTTCTTTCTTCTTCTCCTTTTGGCTGCACGCAAGGAAAGCAGCAAAAGTCTTTCTTTCTCTCCCCCAAACTCCACCAGAAATGAGTCTCTGGGACCCTGCAAGGCATCCTGCTCCAAGAGGCTGCAACAAGTCTCATAAAGACTCATTTCTGGTGGAGTTTGGGGGAGAGAAAGAAAGACTTCTGCTGCTTTCCTTGCATGAAGCCAAAAGTCTTTCTCTCCCACCCCCTGAGAACCGAGTTGGAGATGGTATCCCGTGATCCCAAATAAAGAACGATCGATCGGTAGGAAAACGGGGTGGGGAATTTTCCTGCAGACTTTTTGGGGGGATTTTCCCAGGGTCTCTGGTCCATGGGACTTAAAATTATGAGTTTGGTGGTCAACCCTGGTGTAAAGTAAATGTGTATATTGTGTATATAAGTACATCCACAATAAATTATTATTATTATTAATAATAATAATGATAATAATAATATCTTCATGGGTCTTCTACAAAGTTCCAAGGTTAATAATTTATATATATATGCTTCACTTTTTCCTCTCAGGGTGAAATTGGCTTGCCAGGTCCTCCAGGACGCAATGGAGAAAAGGTAAGGAGTTAGACATGAGAAACAGGTACTATATACCCGTATACATCATTAAATAATCAAAGAGGCGTCTCTACTCTCTGAAGCTGCCATGAAAAGGCATTCTTGAGTTTAACTCTGTTCATAAGTGAAGAAAACTGTTTACACAGAATATGGAATAACAGAGTTGGAAAAATCCCTGGAGGTCTTCTAATCCAACTGTCTGCTTGATCAGGAGATCCTAAAGCATTCTGGACAAACGACTGTCCAATCTCTTCTTGAAAACCTCCAGTGATGGACAGTGGTGGGATTCAAATTTTTTTTACTGCCGGTTCTGTGGGCATGGCTTGGTGGGCATGGCAGGGGAAGGAGACTGTAAAATCTACATTCCCTCCCCACTCCTGTGGGGGAAGGTAACTGCCAAATCCCACTCCATCCCCACCCCACTAACCTGCTTTCCAGCTCCATTCTCCTGTGCAGGGCAACCAAAGAAGACCCAGCCGATCAGCTGGGACTCGGGAGGCAGAGAATAGATGGGGGTGGGGTTAGTCAGAGGTGGGATTTGCCGGTTCTCTGAACTATTCAAAACTTCCGCTACCGGTTCTCCAGAACTGGTCAGAACCTGCTGAATACCACCTCTGGTGATGGAGCATCCTCAATAAGAGACCCCCAGAGAAATCCAGCAAGGTTGCACAAAGAACTCTTTGATAAATTGAGAGACGAAAAGGACAAGTATGAAAAAAAATGGGCATAGGGACATATAACTAAAGGAGAATATCAGCAAATACTGGGAATCTGCAAAGATGAAATCAGGAAAGTAAGGGTCAGAATGAACTTAGACTTGCAACAAATGTTAAAAATATAGGCAGTCGTTGACTTACAAGCACAATTGAGCCCCCAGTTTTTGTTGCTAAGTGAAACAGTGAATTTTGCCCATCGTATTACCTTTTTTATCACAGTTGTTAAGTGAATCACTCCAAGTGTTGAGTTAGTAACACAGTTATTAAGTGAATCTGGATTCCTCATTGACTTTGCTCATCAGAAGATTGCAAAGGGTGATTGCATGACGCCGGGACACTTGAAGTGTCACAGGTATGAATCAATTGCAAATGTGTGAATTTTGGGAATGCTACAACGGTCATAATGTGAAAAATGGTCATAAGTCACTTTTTTCAATGCCTTTGTAACTTGAACCCAGGGGTGGGATTCTACCTGGACAGTCTGGTTCTATAGAACCAGTTGTTATGATTCTGCCCAGTTTGGAGAAACAGCAAATCGCGCCACTGGCTGACCCCGCCCCACCCACTCACCCCTTACCTGGCATGCACACCATCCAACTTGTCTGTGTTTGGTAAGTTGCTATTTTTCCTTTTTTTCCTCCTGACCATCAGCTGTTCTGCTGTGCCGGGAGATTTAGATTAGCTAGAAAGCAGGAAATCATTGGATTTCTTGCTTTCTAGTTAATCTAAAAGCAGAGCTGAACCTTCCTTGGGACCGAAGCTTTTGTTTTTCAGTGCAGACTCAGGTAGCCGGTTGCAGAATCATAGATCTCTTAGTGAATCTGTGATTTTGTGAGCAACTCAATCTGCCTGCCTGCTTTGTCTGGTTTTGGGTAAAAATTGCTCTTTTTTTATGAAAAATTCAATATTTACTTAAATATTTCTAATATTTACATACAAGCCACACCCAGCTAGTCACATGACCACCAAGCCTTGTTCCTGATTTTTCCACCAAGTTAGCAAGCCATTCCCACCCAGTCACATGACCACCAAGCCATGCCCACAAATTAGGCCATGCCCACAGAACCGGTTGTTAAGAAATTTGAAACCCACCCCTGCTTGAACCCTCACTAAATTAACTGTTGTATGTCAAGGACTACCTGTATTTTTTTTAAAGAAGTCTTTCAACATGTAAAAAAAAAAACAAGAAAAAAGTCAAGGAAATGATTGGTGCACTAATGGAAGAAGATGGCAAAGAAGTGACAGGCAGCAGGAACAAAGCAGAACTGCTTAATTCATTCTTTGCCTCCGTCTTCAAACAAAAGGAAAAATAGATTCCTTCTGATTAAAAGCAGAACTGTAAAAGAAAAATTTGAAAAGTAATGCATTTAGCCTGTACTGTTATTTAGGTAATTATTGAATATGGGATTATCATACTCCATATAGTATCATTACCTACAGAGGCTCTGGCGTGATCCATACTTTTTGCTCAGTCGTCCAGCATGAGGACAGGCATTTAGTGTTTGGGGAGATGGGAGCAGATCACATCATCCTCAGCCTGTCCCGAATTGCCACTGAAGTGTTGTGTCCAGGGGTGGGCTACTGGGGGTTCACAAGGGTTCAGGAGAACCCCTGGCTAACATTCTGCACAGTTTGGAGAACCCCCCCAAATCCCGTTCTTAGCTGGCACTAGATAGCACTAGCATTTAGACTTATATACTGCTTTTACAGTGCTTTCCAGCCCTCTCTAAGCGGTTTACAGAGTCAGCCTATGGCCCCCAACAATCTGGGTCCTCATTTTACCCACCTTGGAAGGATGGAAGGCTGAGTCAACCTTGAGCCTGGTGGGATTCGATCTGTCAAATTGCAGTAGGAGTAGCTTGCAGTACTGCACTCTAACCACTGCGCCACTGAGGCTCCCTACTACCCACCCCTCTCCTCCCTGGAGTCCCCACGTGGCCCATTTTGGATGCAGGTAAGTGCAGGGCACGGGCGGAGGCTCGGGGAGGTTGAAAAATGGGCCTCCCAGAAGGACGGGAAAGCCAGAAATGGGCCCGTTTCCAGCTTCCAGAGAGCCTTCGGAACCAGGGATGGGATTCAAATTTTTAACAACCGGTTCTGTGGACATGGCTTAGTTGGTGGGTGTGGCTTGGTGGTCATGTGACTGGGTGGACATGGCTTGGTGATCATGTTATTGGCTGGGCGTGGCCAACTCAATATCACTCACATCGAGGCATGCATCTCCTCGCCTGGCCTCTCATGACTGTGGGGATGCTGCAACAGTCGTAAGTGTGAAAAATGGTCATAAGTCACTTTTTTCAGTGCCATTGTAACTTTGAATGGTCACTCCACACATGCAAAGTACCAGCAAAGGAGGGGGAAAAAACTCCAGAGAAGGTCCTGAGACAGGAAGTCTAGTCCTGCCAAGAATGTAATAAGGGTTAACGGAGAGGCAGTTTCTGTAAGCAACACCAGAATGTTTTCTTCCTGCCTTCCTTACAGGATTAGGCCAGTAATTTCTTCTAACAACCAGTTCTCCGAACTGCTTAGAATGTTAACAACCAGTTCTAGCGAATAGGTGCAAACTGGTAGAATCCCATCCCTGTCCAGAGCCCAGGGAGAGCAAAAGTGCCCCTCCTACCATCGTGCAGGAGGCCGACTAGGCCACACCCACCATGGCCACGCCCACCCAGCAACCAGGCTAAAATTTTTGAAGCCCACCTCTTTTTGTGCCCCCAAATAAAAAATAACGTTTTCCTCTCTGCACTGGTGCAAGCAGAGTCGACTTATCCCACTTCATTCTGGCCTACAAAAATGCCTCCATCGCAATTGGTTGATGTGCGCTTTGGCGGGCACTTCGTCTACCCCTCCCCTCTGCCTTCAACAGTCTCCCCTGGACTGCCTGACCTGAAAGGATGGGCCTTTGTCTGTCTGTCTTTTGTTTGTTAGGCTCAATAGCAAACTGGAGAAATGCTGATTAGTTTCGTTAGCTTGCTTTTAATTGGTCATTTTTGTTATAATTTTATTAAACTTATGAAAATCCAAAATCCAAACGAAAATTTTGTAGAGGGGGTATGTGTGTGGGGAAGAGAGAGAGAGAGAGAGGGAGGGAGAGAGGGAGAGAGAGAGAGAAGTGTGGGATAAAGGTAAGAAAAAAGAAAGAAAAGCATTAACATCCAACTCTTTTCAGTGCAGCAGAATAAAAATACTTTGATGTTTTACTTTTGCATACTTAATATATACTAGCCATTTCCCTAACAACAAACCTGTTTAATCAGCAAATCCCAAAGTTTTATTTTTGTTCCTATCCCAAGCACAAAATCTAGAAGCAGCTTCCAAACAGAAAGGAAGCTGGATGCATTCTTTTCTTTGATTAAAGCACTTATTTTAACCATCTCTGCTAGTTCCTTCTTTTTTTTCCCCCAGTTCCGCTAAGTTTCCCTGTTAGACCAAGTGACAAGTTAGGACTGAAAAACTCTTGACCTTTCTTTTCTTATCAATCCTTCAAAGACATTGCCACAAATAGAAGGGTTGTGTACTTCCTGGCTTGGGTGGGAAGGAAAAAGAAGTTGAGGAGTCTATGAGTCAGGAACTGATTACAGTTCAGAGAGAGCTCCTAGCCATCACTGGGTTAGATGCAAAGGAAGGAGTTGAAACCCACAAAGAAATACTTTAAACCAGGGGACAAACCAGCAAAACAAAACTGGCTGAGGAATTCTGGGAGTTGAAGTCCACAAGTCTTAAAATTGCCAAGATTGGAGAGCACAGGTGGCATTCAGCAGATTCTGACCAGTTCCAGAGAACCAATAGTGGAAATTTTGAGTAGTTCGGAGAACCGGCAAATACCACCTCTGACTAGCCCCACCCCCATCTCTTCTCTGCCTCCCAAGTTCCAGCTGATTGGCTGGGTCTTCTTTGGTTGCCCTGCACAGGAGAACGGAGCTGGAAAGCAGGTTAGTGGGGTGGGGAGGGAATGGGATTTTGCAGTAACCCTCCCCCACGAGTAGGGAGGGAATGGACATTTTACAGTATCCTTCTCCTGCCATGCCTACACATCCATGCCCACCAAGCCATGCCCACAGAACCGGTAATTAAAAAAAAAATCGAATCCCACCATTGTTGGAGAAGCCTGCCTTAAACCATCTTGACTTCTAGCCAGTTTAGCATGGGAGTCAAGCGGCTGAAGGCTGTAGTAAAGGAACAAAAAGTCCTTTGTTTAAGTCAAGATGGGGAAAAGAAATCTTTCTTATCTTTTCAAGGCTGCATTTAAAGTGTTTCTCCTACTATTTCTTCTACTTTTACCTTATCATACAATATCTTTTAGAAAGAAAACCTGTTCTATACTAAGATGACCCAATTCAGGACTATAAAGGAGGCCATTAAAAAGTTTCCAACTTCAACGTTTAATACCTGTGTTTGTAAAGACCCAGACTGGCCCATTTTCGAACTATATTCTTTCTTCCCACATAGCTTCTTGGCTATTGAAGCGAGGATTCTGTAATACATTTGAGGTTCTTTTCAAGAATTGCTTAGTTTGCATCTAATGTGCTTTTCAACTAGAGACTGTTAAAAACACATCAAGAAATTAACTTTTTCACAGAGGACCCCATGTTATTCAACAGAATCATAAAATCATATGATCCTATGATTCTAAGAATCATTAAAGAGGAAGTAGACGGGAGATATGCAATAGCTATGATCTTATACAAATACTAGCTTGATACCCGTGCTTCGCTACAAAACTATGTGGTTGGGCTTAGTTTTGGGGGAGGAAAATAAGGAAAAAAATTCTGCCTACTAGCATCCATCAGTATTCATTTGGGTAGCATCTTTCAGCGTGTGCGAGAGTTCAGGGCTCTTTGGAAACTGAAAAAGTATTTACTGTGTGAGCAAGGAGACAGCAAGGAGCCTGGGAGTGGCTTAGCTCAATTGTTCTGTACTAAAGCTGGTTGCTGCTGTTAAACTGAAACTGAAACTCCTCTCCTCTGCTTGTGTTTTGCATTTGGAACAGATATCTTTTCAGGTGGGGAGGAGGAATAAAACTCCTTAGCATCAGAGCGTGTTAATAATAATAATATAGGAAATACTAATGCTCTGGTGGTCATTTCAAAAAATCCTTTCTCAATGAGCCCCTAGAAGCCAAGAGGAACATACGTGCCAAATTTCAAGTTTGTAGGCTTTACGGTTCTGGAGATTTTGTGTTGATGCGTGAGGGATATTTCGCTTTTATATATAGAAATAGATTATACCCATTTGAAAGAAACAAGCAATTAGCGTATCTTTCTCATTGCATAATTCCACCTAAAATCTTTCTTTCCCTGTAGGGTCTTGATGGCCTAAATGGAGTTAAAGGTGACCCAGGAATGCCTGGACCTCCTGGTCTCATCGGTCCAATTGGACTTTCAGGATTGACAGTAAGCAGACCAAATTATTTTTCTAATTAAAAAAAACAACCCTCTGCCATTGCCATCAAGAAAGTCAACAAATACAAATCATTTAAGAGACAAAAGCAACATGCCTTGAGCAAAACAACTTGCCTTGAACTTTCTTCCTTAGCTGAAGTTCAGATAGCCAGTTAAGGCCACTCAACATATTTGTGGCTGGATTCCTTTGAACGAAGAAGATCTGCCAAGACCAAAATCTCCAAATACCCATTTCTCTACATAGCTTCATGCTGTTGCGTGACCTAGAGATTCCTCATGACTGTCAGTTTTCACAAGTTGTAAGCAACAACTGCAAAGCAGGCTTTGAGAAGGAACAAAGCGTACACAGGGGGTATGGAAAGAATATCCCTGCGGTAAAGTAGGTTTAGAAAGTGATTGTTGCAGGATTTTTTTTTTTTCAAGATTACAGATTGGGTGCTTCCCTTCTAAATATACACTATAGTTTAAAGACATTCCTTGAATTAAATAGAATGCTAGTTAATCATGATAGCCAGTGAGGCATTTAGTGTTATTCTAGATCAAGGCTCTCCAAACTTGGCAAGTTTAAGACTGGTCGACTTCAACTCCCAGAATTCCCGAGCTAACATGACTGGAGAAGGAATTCTGGGAGTTCAAGTCCCCAAGTCTTAAAGCTGTCAAGGTTGAAGACCCCTGTTCTAGAAGTATCCTAGTGATTGCATTTTTATTTACTTCTTCATCTAAATTTTTGGCCATCTTGAAATGTCACTGCTATAATAACTTGGCATGGATGCTCTTTTTTTATTACAATATTGTTGTATTCACAGGGAGAGAAGGGAGAACCTGGAGAAAAAGGAGATATCGGGATTTCAGTAAGTGATCCTACCACGTTATTTTTTTAAAACATCAGACAAATTCCTCCTTTCCCTAACTATAGCTCAATTTTCTTCATCTCTTCTTCCCGAATACTATTTTCACAATGATAGGTTTAATTTCTGCGCAATAATTTTGAGGAAGGGGTCAGGTTACTGCTTTTATTTGCTGAGCATGAAAGTGAATTATTACGTCAGTGACATTTGCTTTTCTATTTGGCTCTTAGGTAACTGGTCCACCAGGGCCTCAAGGCCCGCCTGGAAACCCAGTAAGTCTTTTCTACAAAGAAAATACAAATGTTTTTTTTCCCCTTTCTCTAAAGTATTTCCTAATACCATCTATTTATTGTGACAAAATTCTCCACCAAAATACATTGACCTAAACCAGGAGTGTCAAACAAGGCCTGGGGGGTGCTTAATCTAGCTCACGGGGTTACCCTGGAAACAGCAGACGACCAGCCCGTGGTGCCTCTGCCAGCAAAAATGGAGCTTGGGAGCTCTGTTTTTGCTGGCAGGGGGTTGCAGGAGGCCATTGCAGCTGAAAATGGAGCTTGGGAGCCTGTTTTAGCTGGCAGGGTGCTCGGGCCACCACAGGGCCCCTCAACACAAGGGATGTCATGCTGGCCCCACCCACCATGGCCACACACATCCCAGCCCCCCCACCCCCGAGGTCAAACACAACCCTGATGTGGCCCTTAATAAAATCGAGTTTGACACCCCCTGGCCTAATCAAAATGCTGTTTTTTGAAGGTGTAATAACTGATAATCACTAGAATTACAACTATCTCAGTGTGGTCTGTAGCTTTTAGCATGGAGAATAGCCAGATCTTCAGTAGCTTCCTGAATGTCATCACAGTGGGAGCCATTTGGATCTGTGGGGTATCATTCCAGAAGGCAGGAACCATGATGGAGAAGTCACACTTTCTAGGTCCTGCTTAATCATGAGGACCTAAAGTGTATTTTGTTCTTCCTGATTGCAGCAGATAAGTAGAAGTAACCAGAGATTCATGTTCCTTCAAGCAGCCAGGCCCTCTGCCAGGAGAGCCTTTAGAGATGATAACCAGTAACTTGAGTTGCATTCAGAAACTTAACTGGTGGCCAGTGCAACCCACAGAGCAGGAGGTCACATGGACATTAATGAGGCATACTGATCACTGTTTACCCTACTAGAGGGTCAAGAAGCATTAGTGGGAGTCCTGTTTAGGAGCATGGAGAATATTCAAAAAAGTGACAGTGGCAGTGACCAAAATGTTTAGCTCCACAAAATTCCAGAGTACACACACCAGGGGTGGGATTCAATTTTTTTTAACAACCGGTTCTGTGGGCATGGCTTAGTTGGTGGGCGTAGCTCGGTGATCATGTGACTGGCTGGGCGTGGCCAACTCAATATCACTCACATCGAGGCATGCATCTCCTCGCCTGGCGTCTTCTGACTGTGGGGATGCTGCAACAGTCGTAAGTGTGAAAAAGGGTCATAAGTCACTTTTTTCAGTGCCATTGTAACTTTGAATGGTCACTCCACACAAGCAAAGTACCAGCAAAGGAGGGGGAAAAAACTCCAGAGACGTTCCTGAGAACAGGAAGTCCAGTCCTGCCAAGAATGTAATAAGGGTTAACGGAGAGGCAGTTTCTGTAAGCAACACCAGAATGTTTCCTTCCTGCCTTCCTTACAGGATTAGGCCAGTAATTTCTTCTAACAACCAGTTCTCCCAACTGCTTAGAATGTTAACAACCAGTTCTAGCAAATAGGTGCGAACTGGTAGAATCCCACCCCACACACACACACACACACACACACACACACACACACATATACACACACACACTATGTATGTATGTATGTGTGTTTGTGTATGTATGTATGTTTGTATGTATGTATTAGAATGTAATCCAGATTTGCAGGAGGAACAAAGAAACAACATAGTTTGGAATCTATGGTATGAAGGAAAAGTGCAAAGATGGGTGCTCCTTAGCAGTTCACAAGGTATATCTAATAGTTACGTAGATCTGTGCTTTAGTCTGGGAAGAATTTTATCTATAGGCAGCCAACAATAAAGAAACTACTCTGAAGTAATTTCCCATGTCTTCCTTGGTTCCTTGGATTTGACAATACAGGAATTACAGAAATCACAATGAACATTCCACGATTTATTTGTTGTATTCAGATGCTTTAAAATGATTTGCCAGTAGGATTAATTAACAAAAGCACTTTATTATTGAAATTATGCAGTTATTTTCCATAAAGAGTGGGTATGCAAGCAAACATAATGCAGACGTTTCCTCCATATTATGACTCAGACTGTTAGCTAGCCAGTACAAGGAGTACTTGTCTAATGATCGCTTGTTCAACAATCCTTTGAATTTACAATGACATTGAGTGTGTGGTACTGATCCTTGTAGTTGCAGCCATCACAGTGCCCCTGAAGTCACATGATCATGACCGAGGTGCTCAGTAACCAGCCCACATTTCTGACCAATGCATTATCCAGTGGTCACCTAATTATAATTTGCGATCTTCTCTGCTAGCTTCCCACAATCAAAGTTAATGGGGTGGCCGACAGGAAATCAGAGGTCGCAGTCATATTAAGCTTTTGCTTAATGACCCACACAGTCCTCACTTAATGGCAATCAGGACTGCCCGAATTGCCATTGCTGAGAGGCACGGTCACATGACATCATGCTCAACAACCACACCATATAGTGATGGATTTTCCCAAATTACTGTTACTAAAATAGGGCTACCTGTAGAACAGAGATTCTAAAGCTGTAAGTAATTTGGGCATATCCTGTGGGTAATGGAAAGATTTTATAATTGCTTGTTTGTGAGTCAAAGGTCCAGTTTGGGACTGCTACTGCCAAGACACTTGTATAAAGCAATTGAGTCTAGGGTTGTTGTTGTTTTTTTGTGGGAATAAAAATTTGGTGGGGAAAAAAAGATAATTGGGCCAAACAGCTTAAGAATGACAATAGCAGAGAAAATCTGGGTGTCTTTATACTGCTAGAATGTTAAGTTGAAAGAAAATTATACCAACTTTTTTTTAAAATTCTAATTATAGGGTCTTCAAGGGCTACTGGGACCTAAGGTAAGAAGGACACACAATCAAACTAAACTTAAGTAGGCACCTTATAGAAAATATTTTGTCTGCTGTTCTAAAAGAAAAATTATGGCTTTGCATATTTTGGAGCAGGAGCAATCAACCTTTGACTCTCTCAAAATATTTCTCCCTATTTCTTGCTATTGCCTAAACCTCCTAAGGATTTTGAAGGTTGGTATTCAGAATGCCTGCAATGCTGTGGATTGCCCATCCTTGAGTTTTTTTCAAGTATTTGTTATATCCTTGCATAGCGTATGTAAGAATATAAAACAGGTAAACCCTTTTAGATCTATTACGTGTCAATTCCCTATATTAGTGGAGGCGGAGGAGGAGGGTGATGAGGAGGTAGAGTCCTATTTTTCATCATCTTGATCTGCTGGATCACTGGCAACTATAGTCTAATAAAGGGCCATAATGTCCAGAAGAGATTTCTCAGAAAAATCTCCCCTTTTTAATTCGTGAAACTTTGCAACTATATTTTACACTACAGTTTATACACTTCACTGTATTTTCACTTTTTTTTTTTCTTTGAATGAACATTCATTTGGGAAAAAACAGTCAAATAGTTGCACAGTGGCATTTGATTTCTAGGGCTAGAATCCCAAAACAACCCAGAGTTTGGGAACTTCCAAATAGGCTGATCTGACTAAAATCTAGCCTGTATTATACTGAGAATGTTGGCCTGTACCGTCACACCTTTTTCTACGTGAGTTCACAACCACTGTGTCATCCCACTTCCAAGTATGCATCATTATGGAAAACATAGAAAAGGGTTAGGAAAATGTAAGAAGTACGTAAAGACATGAAAAAAAGGAAATGAAAATCTAGTCAGTGTTTCCCAACTTTGGCAAGTTTAAGCTGCTTGGAATTCCAACTCCCAGAATTCCCCACCCAACCTAGCTGGTTAGGGAATTCTGGGAGCTGAAGTCCATGCAGCTTAAACTTTATAAGGTTGAGAAATACTGATCTAGTTTATATCAAGAACATTTACTCTCGATGTCTTTCTACTGTGCAAATCATCAGGTTTGGATCCTGTTTGTATTCCCTTCTTCACATGCCATCTTTTAAACTTCTGTCTTTTTGAGGATTTCATCGATTCGTGACTGTTTCAATAACCCGCTTCCTTTTGATCCATTTACTCTTCTCACTATATAAACAAACCATCTTCTCCTTTTATAGTTAATCCATGTTTGCTCAACATCCATTTATTTTTTACACTCTTATCTTCTGGTTTTACTACACAAACGTCTCAAGTATTCTGTTCCTACTGCATTCAACATTTATATTTCTCCTGACAGATCCAGCTGTAACCTCAAAAAAGGGGCAGAAATGTAGTCATTTCCATTTCTCCTTTCATGTTCATTTCTTTCCACAAATGTTTATTGCTCACAATGAATGATATACTCTCCTCCACCTTTATATATAGCATTTATTTTTCCTAAAATTTCTCTAGCTTTTCTTATCTCTGATTAACTTCCTATCAAGGTAAACAAATTAATGGGTTTGCTCTAGATTTTTTTCCATTTATAGATCATGTCCTGTCTTTCATTCCATTTCTCTTTTCAAACAGAAATACGTAAGGCTGTATGCATACTCATTGCATCATTCAAATCTGTGCAATATTCACTGTAATTCACGTTGGCACTGTCTACATATATAAGTAGATGTACAGCCACAATTAATACATTCCTAATATCACTTCTAATATCAGTACACCATGAACATAAACACATAAAAAAGCAAGAGGGAAATCACACGTCCTTATCTTACTGCCTGCTGATGTTTAACCGTTTACTAAGCAGTCCATTTATTCTCATGAACAATTTATTTCAATCATAGACTATTCTTTACTTATTCACTAATCAACAATCAGATCCCTATATGCCAGATTCCATCATTAACATTATTTCTCTGAGCAGTCTGTATATCAATAGATACACAATAAGCATATCCCAAATGTGGCTCATTGTTAACTTTCATACTTTTTTTAAAATAAGAGTTCAGCTGAACTCCTTCTTGGTTAATAAATGAATCTTTCTGTACCTTTTGAAGGCATAGATGCAGCCTCCACATCTACTTTATTTAAATTACAAATCCATTCAATAAACAAGCAGTATCCCTATTTAACCTAACTTCAAATATACTGTCCACATCTACCTGCATTTTCACGATTTTGAATGTTCTCACACCTGGTTGAGAGGAAGTCTCAAGCTGAGACGAATGGTGATTGGGGCATGTGATGCAATGACAAGCACATTAACTTAACAACCATGTCACTAACTTAACAATTGCAGTGATTCACTGTGGCAAAATGTCATAAAATGGGGCAAAGTCATTTAAAACTGTCTTGTTTAGCAATGGGAATTTTGAAGTTAAGTTAATTTAAGTTAACAAATAATTTCCTCAACACTGTCCAACCATTTACAAAGTCTGCACTACTATTACTGTTAACTTTCTCATCACTCCTTATCACTCCTTATCACCACTTGTGAATGTATGACTGTAAACTTTGTCGCTTGTATCCTTACAATTTATATTGACTGTTTCCTAGTATGATTTGATTGCTTATTGTACCCTATGACATTATCAAGTGTTGTATCTGATGATTCTTGACTCTTGATAAATGTATTTTTTGTTTTATGTACATTGAGAGCATTTGTACCAAGACAAATTTTGTGTCCAATTACACTTGGCCAATAAAGAAGTCTATTCTATTCTAATTCTGATCATAACTTGAGGACTACCAGTATCTTTCTTTATTTCTCATTCCTCCTTTTTTTGCAGTAATCATTTTTCACGTACCATTTTTCTCATCCACCATCTTTTCCCATCAACATCCCACAAAGCATCCTTGTCCAGGTGTCCCAGGAGCATCACTCCGCTCTCTGCCTTTCAAACGGCTTCCACACCTTCTTCCTTATGTCGGAACGATGACCCCTTTATTACCTGTGGACTTTGACTGCCTGCTGGCTCAGGAATTCTGGGAGTCAAAGTTCACAGGATGTAAAGGGGCCATCATTCCCCACCCCTGTTTTATGTATGCTTTCCATTCATTCTCTTGGAAGATTCAGTTATCTTTTCATACAGGAGTTGAAAGTTCTCTTTTTTCCAGTCCTTAGCAAAGTTAGCAGAATGTCATCTTGTCATTGCTATGAATGAATGAAAAACTGCTGGTGACCTTCTACCACTGCACCATAAAGAGTATCTTAACTTGCTGCACCTCTGTATGGTTTGCCAATTGCACAGTGGCAGATAGGAAGGCACTCCAGAGGGTTAATGTCATTGTCGAGAAGATCATGGGTTGCCCTCTCCCCTCTTTGGAAGAGCTTCATAGCTCCCGCTGCCTTAAGAAAGCTCAAAACATTCTCAAAGATCCATCTCATCCTGGGAACCCCCTTTTTTGAACTATTACCATCTGGCAGATGGTACAGAATAATAAAAACAAGGACAAATAGGCTGAAAAAACAGCTTCTATCCCAGGGCAGTAGCTCTTTTGAATTCTGCTGTACAGTGCAGTGTTGTGTTTATTTTCATGGTCATGATGTGCACTGAAGACGGTGTTTGATTTCGTTGTATGAGGTGCAATGACAATAAAGTAAACTAAACTATGCAAATGCTGTTGGGATTTCACCAAGTACTTTCCTCTGTAAATTAACTCCTATTTAGAAACCTACTGGAGAAGAATTAGCTTTCTTCTGATGTGTTTTTCTTTTAGGGAGAAGCAGGAATTGATGGATTAAAAGGTGAAAAGGGTATCCAAGGAGAAAAAGGAGATCGGGGTCCTCTGGGGCTGCCCGTAAGTATCTAAAAAGAAGGGGAAATTAGAGCAAGAAATGACAATGAATACAACTCACGAAAGGGCGCAGATATCGCCCAGAGAAGCGTGTGACTTTAGAACGATATCTTGATTTTGAAAAAAATCCGAGAAAATTCCTCCAGATAATTATCACTTGGGTAATGTTGACATCAAGAAAAGTGCTTCATGGGATTGCGACATTATTTTATTCATAATCATGGGGGGAAAGGTCTCAAATCCTAGTTCAGATGCTGAGATATGCAAGAATTAACAAGAAATAACTCACAGGATTCATTTATTCACAATAACATGGGAGGAGGGGAAGACTGGCAACAATGAAGAGGAACTATCTGGTACAGTTTTCTTCCTGAGTTCAGGAACTGATATTTAGTTTGGATTCCTTATTTAGGAAAAAGAAAAATCTTATCCAGGAATTTTCTATTTGACATATGTGTTAATTCACAACTACATTTAGCTCATTTCCCCCACATGCAACTTTTTATATTTTGCTCACAACAAAGAGACTCTCTCTGGGTTCTTGTGCAAGCCCAGACTTTATAATGGTTTGCTGCAGGGAGTCCTCAGTTTAACAATGACAATTGGGACTAGGATTTCTATTCCTAAGTGATGCAGTTGTAAAGTGCAATTTCACCCGACCACGTTGCTTAGCAGCAGCAGTTCTGACATTTCCTGGTTGCCATCTGTAAGGAAATCCCACATTGTCATTAAGCAAGGATGTCACATGGTCATCACTTGAGACTTCCTGCCAGCTTCCCCATTGACTTTGCTCATAGGAAGCTGGAACAGAAGGTTGCAAATGGTGTCCAGGTGATTTCCGGAAGCTGTGACATCATCATAGCAACCTGGGTGCCAAGCACCCAGATTACAATCACATGATCACTGGGATACTGCAACAACTAATCCTTCATGGATCTGTCATAACTATCACTCATGCAGCACTGTTGCAAGTTTGAACGGTTGCTGAATGGGTGATGGTTAAGCGAGGACAACCTGTATTGGTGAACTCAACCACCGCATGTTGGTGGCGGTGGCAGACAACGTTGTCATAGGCAGTTAACAGCTGGGATATCCACTTCTTTTCTTCTTCTTTTTTTACAGTCATGAGGCAACATCAATAAGAGCTAGTAAGGAAGGACAGACAGTTGGAAGATACTGAACAATTTTCTTATTGAGATCGTTGCTTTGTAGCAGTAGAAACACAGTGAAACTAAAAAGCTGGAGAAATTTGAAAATCAGCAGCACTAGTGCTGGTCTCCCTGCCAAAACCGTTAGCGTCACATCTCTAACAGGATGGGATATCTCTTGTTTGCCTGTCAGTGGCAATGCTAACATAGTTTTGAAGGAGGAAGGTTGAGCGAAAACTCCCTTTACAGAATAACAGAATAGCAAAGTTGGAAGATACCTTGAAGGTCTTCTAGTTCAACTTGGAAACCAAACAACTAGAATGAATTAGACAATTAAAATTAGATGAATCAGAGAATGAATGAGAGCGTCAATCCTGAATGGATTACAAAACAAATTTAGAGCTGGAAATACAAACCTTATTGTTTTACAAAGAAAGAAGGCACTAAAAAATTGGACAAGGGAACACTCTTTACAGTATATATTTTCCCCTATATATGTATGTATGTAGATACCTTGCTCTTAATGCGTATTTATTTTAAGGACCAGTTCAAATTATAATATTAGAATTTGTATGTTCTGGTCTTGACCCAGTCTACTTTTACTCCTAAGTGGGAATCTGTAGCACAAATATTTATTCCTCCAGTTCAGTTAAATTCAAAATGGAAGCGTGATGTGATGCCGAATCAGATGTAGATCAGTATTGGCTGTTTTGTGGAAGGTTGCTCCCCACTTGTGAGGTATCGCTTACTGCCTGGTGTAACTGGTGTATTTTTATAGAGATCTTAATGTGCTAGGCTGTGTGTCTTACATTGGGAAAAACTATTGTTCTTCGATTGAAAGCAATGGGAAATGGAAAAGAAAGGACCTTTGGTGGCTTGGAATGTTAATAAATTCAGGTCCTTGAGGGAAATGAAAGTCACATTTAAAGAAATGGAGAGAAATCATCTTCATCACATTAAAATTTTTGCTGAATTCTTGCACTATTCAGAGAAAAGAGAAAGGAAAGTAGTCCTCAGTTAACAACAACAATTGGGACTGGAATTTTGCTGTCAATCGCAATTTTCTGAATGGGACAGTAATCAGCCCAGCATTAGTTTTTCTTCCTTTTCCTTCTTAAAAATAGAAATATCAGTAGCTGTTGCAGTGTTTCAAGCCCCTCTTCCAATATTGTGTAGGGCTAGCCTACTTGGACTCCAGAATTCCAGATGACCACTAGATGCTAGCAAAGAGTTAGCATTTTATTTTTTATTTTACTTGTTCGTTTATTTATACTATTTATAGAGCCACCCATCTTTCAGTCAACTGGGCAGCTCCTAATGTCTGAAGTTTTACAGCACAAATATAATAGATCTAGGATTTCAATCTCGAGAAAAACAAAATGCATTATCTGTGAAAGAATAGTTTATTCCGAAGCAAACATTATAAACATAGTGACATAGTTTCCTGTTTTATAACTCAGAAAAGCCTTGGAAGTAAGGAAAGGATTTGCTTTGCAGAACTTAAAACCAGAAAAACAATTGAGGTAAAGGAGAATCATTGAAAATTGGGAAGTAAAGGTAAAGGAGTCCCTGTGGATTTTACTTGTTAGTCATTGCCAACCATAGGAGGAGGCAGTGCTTATCTCCATTTCAAGGCCATTGAGTCAGAGCTGTCCGAAGACATTTCCAGGGTCATGTGGCTAGCATGATGCCACAGAGTGCAGTTATCTTCTGACCAAAGTGGTACCTATTTATTTACGCACATTTGCATGCTTTCGAACTGCCTCAAACCTGGGCTGCTGGCTTTCTAGCTAACAAGCCCAGCATCTTAACCACTGAGCCACTGCACTGCCAGATGATAGATATATAGATAGATAGATAGATAGATAGATAGATAGATAGATAGATAGATAGACAGACAGACAGAGGGAGGACAGGACAGACAGACAATCCTTCTCACCCAAATTCTTTTCCCTTATGAATGATTAAATCAGGGTGATAAAATTTGGCTTGAATTTTTTACTAAAATTCACACTGAAAACCTACCAAATTTGAACCACAAGCAAAGAAGTTGTGTTTATTTTAAAAGCTTTACAGTATCTGAGAAATGCCTTCTACCTTTTTTCTCCTAATATTGTAAAAACCAGCAGTGTTGTCTTTGCAGATACTTTGAAGAGAGTTTTCTGTTCAAGGGCCTCTAAGAAAGACGTACGGCAACACAATGTTGTTTTCACATGCTTGCCTATTGAAAAGAATCTGGTACTTTCTTTCCACACCCATTAAACAAGGCAGTGTGTCAACTCATAAAAACATTTATATGGTACAATAAATAAATCTTATAAAGACAATAATAGATAGAAATATTCAAAAACTGAAGCTGATGAAAAATATCTAGAATCAGGTAGATTAAAAAAAGCACTGTGTTATTGTCTGGACTGTAGAAAAATCTATAAATGGGGAAATAGCACATGAAAGCATCTCATCTCAAGACCAATGGGGAAGAGAGATGTTGATAGCAAACGACATAAAGAATTTTACATAAGAATTAGACACACATACACACACTTCCAGTTGGCATGAAAATGGATGCATGGCATTGCATAATACAAACATCCCATTTTTTTCTAATCTGGGATTATTTTGCTCCTTCTAACATTCATCTGCTATCAGTTAAGATCGATTATTGCTAGTTGATCTAACACGGATATATTTCTTAAGGCGAGATGTTAACTTCAACTTTGTCCTACTTCTCAGACCTGAGATCAGGTCAGTTTCACTTCTCCTAGCAACTAGTGATACTTGGATGACTTAATAATGTCTCCAGGAAAAACCATGTCATTTGTCATTTGAGATTTTTGAGTTACTCAGTGATTCACAACAGTAACTTGTGCATGCTGAAAGAAAAACCGAGTTTTTTTTTTCATCATTCTATGCAAAAGCTAGCGTTCAAGCGAATGCATGTGTCATTTGATAGAATAGTCTGCTTCCCAACTGCAGCTATTCAGAATGAAAACTATATATTCAAAAATCACTTCCCTAAATTAAATCCCAGTTGTTTTAGTCATGCTTTTCCTATGAAAAACTTGGGGATCTGTGGCTAAATATGAACTGAAATATTGTTGTAAATAACATTTAGTTCCTAATAAGTTCAGATCGAAAGCTCTCTTACTTTCTCTATTTTTATTAATTTCCCAAATCTCTGGGTGTAAGAAAAGGGAAAAATATATTTGAACTTCATCCTCAGTTTGGGTTTTATTATTCTTAGTCTTTATACTTCAGCTTTATAAGAAATTAGATTCCTAATGTTGACCTAACTTGCCTATGGTTATAGCTCATAATTCTGGTGATTAAATTACATTATCCAGGTATTTTTACTTTGAAGCTTAATAGCCACTCTTAGTCTCTCCTTTAAAAATGATGTATGCCATAAATTTATAAGTAATTAAGGATATTAAAATAACATTATTACCTCCATGACACTTTAGATCTACTAGTAGTTACTTGTGTTCTATTATCATGTTTTAACTCTTTTATTCTTTCATGTTTCATGTTTTTTGTTGCTTTCAAAAATGTTGTTTTAAAAAAGCAGAGTTGAACTGCCCAGTAATAGGAAATACACTGGACTGTGTGTGTGACCCATCACAATTTTTACTGGGACTCCATTTAATGTATCTGAATGAAAGTGGACCATGTTTGAGATATTATTTGATATTTAGCTATATCTGAAGTTATAAATGTTTCCATCACCAAAAAAAGGCAACAACACCAAAAATTTGCCTCCTAAAATTTTAACCTCTAGTCTCATTTTTTTCAGTCTTGGTTTTTGTTTTTTTTTTCTAATTATGATGGTAACCCTCTTATTCAACAATCAAACTAGGCTCATGTAACATTTTCATCACTTTGGGGCCTTTCCAAAGCACTGTAGAACTTCATTGGTCAAAGGTCACCATTTCAGCTGGTGCATGGAGAAGGCAATGTATTATTCGAATCCAGAATTCATTAGTCTCCTCCATCAAAGTAGAACATACATAGACAGTCCTCATCTTGTGACCACAATCGAGCCTGTTGCTAAGTGAGACAGTTGTTAAGAGCTTTGCCCTATTTTACGACCTTTCTTGCCACATTCGTTAAGTGAATCATTGCAGTTATTAAGTTGGCAACACGGTTGTTAAGTGAATCTGGCTTCCCCATTGACTTTGCTTGTCAGAAAGTTACTGCAAAGGTCATAAATATGAACCAGTTGCCACGCATCTTAATTTTGATCACATGACCATGGGGGGGGCGGCTTGGCTGCGATGGTCATAAGTGTAAAAAACAGTTGTTGTAAGTTGATGACTCCCTGTATTAGTTTTCTATTACAAGTTTGATATCAACCTGGGTTGCCAATATAATAGGAACAGAAGCTTGGGCAAGTGATGGAGAAAGTAATGACAAACAAGATTCCATGTTTACTAAATATTTCCTTTCCATGCCCTAGTTTTGAAGACATAAAGCCAAAACATCTTATATCCCCCGTTCTTCCGACATAAGGAAGCCCTTTAAGCATTCACACAATCATCAGCCTGCATAGGAAACCCAAGGTCATGATGTTGGAACTGTTATACATGGATAATGCAAATGGGGAGGCTTAAAAATATGCTCGCAACTATTAATGACATGGATTTACACACCCGTCCTTCCATTGCAGACCAAAAATGACAACTATCCATAACCCTGGTTTTATTGTAAGACCTCTTCTGAAGCTGATAATGCCAACAGTCCTGTGCAGCTCTCTTCCTGAGGGAGGCACGATTACAATTTTTATAACTCTGAGTAGGGACTGCAAAATGTTTTAACCCTCTCCTATCACTTAAATCAGGGGTCCCCAAACCTGGCCACTTTAAAATTTGTGGACTTCAACTCCCAGAATTTTCCGAGAATTCTGAGAGTTAAAATCCACAAGCCTTAAAGTGGCCAAGTTTGGAGTTCCCTGATTTAAATTAACCTCTGCAGCTATAAGGTCATGTGTGTAATGCTTTATTAAGGCCTTTTACAATCACTGTGGGATTCCTTTTTCTGAGCCTATCCTCATCCATCCAAAAGAAATACTTTCGTTTTCTGGAAAATACCCAAGGGAATTTGCTCTGAAATGCTGTTGTCACCACAGGGTTGTATGTCTAATTTTACTCAGGATAAGAAAGCAAAGCTTAGGGGGGTGTTTTGCTCCTTTGCTTGCTGAAGTATTTATCGAAGTCTGCATCCTCACAGTTCTGCTCCAGCCACCAGCTTACATTACATTCAGTGTCTGTTTTTTTTTCCCCGTTGTTGTTGTAAGTGCCATCACCTGTCTTTGAGAGCGAAGTTTTGTTTTATGGTTAGCACATGTTTGTCTCTGGTCACGGCTTCACTCACCTCTTGTTTCCCCTCCTCACCCCTTCCTTCTTGCCTTTTGTTAACCCCTCCCTGTCTGTCCAGGGCGCTTCAGGTTTAGACGGCAGGCCTGGCCCACCGGTGAGTGTCATTTCTCCGATTCCCTACGTTCCTGTTCCCTGATGCTGTGATTTGTCTCCTCTGTCCTGCCATAATCATATTTGTATCACTGTCTTTCCAACAACAACAAAACTAGAATAGAACAAGGGAAGTTACTTGCATTTTGATGCTCAACAACAGTACAGTGCAGTTTCACATCCAAACAAGCCCACAAAGTTCCAAGGATTTGTGATAATTGGCCTCTTTATTTATCCGTGTAATTATATTATGTAAAGTATCTATGGAGATTCTCAATCAGCCAGTCATGGTTATCTCAAAGATGCTTTTTCAAAAGGCAGCTGGGCTTTCTTTCTTATTCCTTGAAGACATTTTGCTTCTTATCCAAGAACATTTTTGAGAAAGCACCTTTGGGGAAGTTGTGTAAAATACAAGTGAAACCTTTGCATGCAGTTGTTGTACATGTGATGTACCTCTGTTGTCCTATTGTCAGCTGTCTATTGTCTTCTTTTTTTTTTCCTACCCATTAAAATCTTGCTTAAAGCATCTCCACCCATTTGTCTGGGCCAAGAGAATGCGCTGGTTATGAGTTGTATGAATGAAAGCAATTCTGTTACTCTTTCATTTCAAGCTACTTAGAGCCTCCGTGCTCTGTATAGATAGATAGGACTCTTAGAAGTAAAACCACAACCATCTTATTTTGCCAGATGTCAAATTTGATGTCCTACCCTGGCAAGTGACTTCAGTTTCATCTACGTCTAAATTGGGCAATGATTTTGAATTTTAATCAGTGGATCTCATGTAAATTATGGGCTGGTGGCTTAACAATGGTTTGGGCTTCTAGTCTGGGTTTAGCTAAATTCACACCACCAGTTATTCTCCAATTGTTATTCCTGCCCCCCTTGCTCACAGACAAATGGTAAATATGAAAATTATGTGAGCTGAAGAAAACACTGCTGGGGGGGAAATACAGGTTTCTTCTTATTATGAAAGTAATAAATAAACCTTGTTTTATGCAAAAGTTGGTAAAATGCAGGATATGCATGAGGAATTAGAAACTAAATATAGCTAAAATATATTGGAATTATTGACTGTGTTGATGGGTTAACTCTCAAAATACCTGTCTTGAGTTAAAAACTCCTTTTTATTAATCAGAATTTCAATCCAATAGATTAATCCATTTTCTCCCCCAAAGGATTTCCAGATTCTTCAAAATGGACAATTATGTCTATCAGGTTTCATACCAGTTCACACAGTCCCTATAAACTTAATATTTTTTTTAAAAAAATGCAAAATATTTGTATATAACTGATAAACTATGTATCACTCTTTTATAACTGAATGCATTTGTGTGTTTTTTTAATGCTCTTTGGAAGGGAGCTGTGGGGTAGAATATATTGTTGTTACGTGTATTATTATGATATAATAATTATATGTATGTAAAGATATCTCATTGATTGCTTACCCAATACCTACCCCAAATTTTCATGTCTCTTGTTCTTGACATTTCTGGTTCCGTTAAAGTGAAGTTAAAGAAAGTATAGCCTGAAACATTTTTTTTAAAGTAATTTCTCTTCCCCCTTGCTAACTTGAAAGCCTCCAGTGCAAAGCAACTGAGTGTAATATGCTACAGTGCAAAATATTTGTAACTATGTATGGGAAAGACCTTGGAAAACTGAGTCAAGAGGTAGCCTGCAGCTGGATAATGGGAGGAACAAGAACGGAATGGGATGACTCACCACAACCAACCCATCATGGGAAAACTCACTGCAGGACAATTCAACAATTCAATTTAAGCATTTAAGATAATGAAAACATTATTTTAATTTTTGTCATTTCCTTTTCATTTGTCCTTCCTTTTGCATTATTTCTTTAATGGTTCTACTCCACCATTTTCTTTGACAGTACGGTAACTTTTGTCCCATGGTGAGTTGCCTCGTGGTGAGTTGGCCAGGGCAAGTTGTCCCATAACTAATTGGCCGCAGTGAGTTGGCTGCGCCAAGTTGGCTGTGGCGAATTGGCCATACCAAGTTGGTCTTGCCAACTCGTCCTGGACCTGTACAAGAGGCTCTGAAGAGATTCTCCCAAGTTTCTATAGCTGTAAAGGAGAAAGATGGTAGAGAGACAAATGTCCTTTTAGACTTGCAGCGTTCTATTAATGTACTTTTACAACAAAGTAGGCGCAGCTCTTTTCTGATGTTTCCTGTCTGGGCTACATCTAGTAAGGCTGACATCAATCTTGCAAGTCTGAAAGTACATTTCTTTAGACTCAGCGCATCTCAACTCTCTTTCAAGACATCCCTTCTTTGCCAGAAGCTAAGCTGTACATCTGTGAATAGTATTGCGGGGAGGAAAAGAAAAATCCTACTGAAGAATTATTTATTTCAACAGAGGAACCTTTTTAATATTCTCAGTGAAATCAGAGAAGCCAAACAGTAGTTAATAAGAAGCTTTAGTTTACCAGGGAAGCGTTTAAACAGTCATCCTTCCCAGCTGCATCTTGAAGTGGTACAACCAGGGAAATGTAATTATTCTGATTTTACAAACTGAACCAGAAGATGGATAAAGCTACCGAAATTCAATTTAAATTTAAGAATGCTTGACTATTAAAAAAGAAAGAAAGAACGAACTTGTGAGCTAGCAACAGAGTGTTCCCATTGGGTGTTTGCTCTTTCCTGCTTTAGTGAAGTAGTGCATAAATAGCACCTGGTGAATAGAAGACTTGAACATGGATGAGTCCTCCTTATGGTGCTGGTTCTGTTAATATAATTGCAGTATGCTTTCAGTATGGTTCTCCATCAAGCTGCAAGATGAATTTCTTAGAAAAGAAATGGGTTAAAATTTTACCTGTCTACCACCCAACTCAATTTTTCATAAAATGGTGACAGATTTCAGCTTTGTTGGCAATTGAAGCTGACGGGATTAAATGTTTCATCTCATTAACTAAAGGGCTGTCATTATACTCTTAATCACTCAGACAGGAATCCTATTTTTATATATAATGTAAAACTGTTATCTTCCTTGACTCTAAAAAGTTGTAGTGAATAGCTAAAAGTGAATAGCTTCCGTCCTCTTAGTTCTTCTTCTGTTGAGGAACCACCATCTTGTCCAGCTTGAAATACGTTCGAATAACGGGCTTCATATATTTATTTTTACCCCAAAAATTCAGGGTACTCCAGGACCAGCAGGTGTCCCAGGACCAGCAGGACCGAAAGGAGAGAGGGTGAGAAATCTTTTATAAACAAATAACTTAGAATTCAGGTACATATTTTAAATAGGACACTAATGTCATGCTTAAAATAATGATCCTGTATGATCCTTACAATCGCCAGAATTGACCAATAATGGGAATGTTAATTTAGTATTCTCTGTTACCATTTCAGAGATGCCTACAGGCTATGAGGAAAAAAAACTAATAAATCAAGATAGCAGTCACAGTGGTCTAATTCAGGGGTCTCCGACCATGGCAATTTTAAGACTTGTGGACTTCAACTCCCAGAATTCTTCACCCAGCAAAGTTTTGCTGGCTGAGGAATTCTAGGAGTTAAAAGTCCACAAGTCTTAAAGTTAGCAAGGTTGGAGACTTCTGGTCTAATTGAAGCTCCCCTCCTTTTGATGTATGTCACACATAAAAACAAGTAGCGCTTTGATTGCATCATTACAGCCACCATCTTGAATTTGGGAGGCCAAATCCTTATATACTCCAATCCCTTTCTCTGTTTATTGAATAAGGATTCAATAACGTCTCAAAGCCCATAGTAGCTGGCAAGATGTGATATAATGAAAACAGAAATAAGAAAGTAAAGACATTAGGGAATCAGAGTTTTTGAACTCATCAATCAGCAGCTAATATTCACTGTTATGTTTCCTTTCCGCTGCATAGCTGGGTATGTTCTGAGGCAATGTATGGAGTCAATACTCAGAGAAGGAATTAATAAATTGAAACTTAATCCAGATAAGGACAGGGGTGCTCAAGAAATAGTGTTTTGCTCTATGCTACCTGGAATGTTGCATCTCAAACAGATTTCTCACGGGTGAATAATTTGGGTGAACAATCCTTTAGAGGACAGCTGTGATCAGAGATATTACCCCAGTATGCTGATAATACCTAGCTGCATTTTTCAACCCTAGGCTACACAGGTGAAGTTGTTAACGTATCAACCCAGACTATGCAGACTATGTGGGTCTGGATGGGGTAGAATTGTAGATGACCAGGCAGAGGCCAAGGGCAGGGTCAAATATGTCATCAGTTTGGAGTCACTGCACTCCATGAATTCCATTGATTCTTATCTAGCACTAATTTGCCTTGACCTTTTGGTCGTTCAGATTCTTGTGTATGGGTAGCCTTTTGAACTCTATCCCAGCTCCTAGTTTATCATGCTTGATAAAAATAGATTTCATCTCAATCCTGATGACTGTGACTGTTTGGCCTCCCTGGGTCAGGTACATTTTTATCATTGGTATTGAATGGAGCAGCACTTCCCCATTCAAGACTGGTGCACAACTTGGGGGTTCTTTTGGACTCAAAGAGCAGATTGTCCCTGTGGCCAGAGGCCCTTTGCACAAGTTCAATCGTGCCCCCCATTTCCCTTGACAAGGAAGCTCCTCGGACAATTGCTCATATCAAAGCCAACTCACGATTGAACTATAATTGCAGAGGTCTTCAAATTTGGCAACTTTAAAACTTGGTTTTAAACGCCGGGGAATTCTGGGAGTTGAACTCTACAAGCCTTAAAATTGTCAAGCTTGGAGACCCCTGGACACTTGCAATGCATTGGACACAGGACAGTCCTTGAGTACCATCCAGAAGGTGCAACTTGCTTCAAACTGCAGTGTCATTTCTATTACACAAGCTATATTGGTTACCATTTGGCTTCTGAGTACAATTGAAAGAGCTGTACTTGTTTATTTTATACAGTATATTGTTGCTTATAGTATGGTGTATTTTACCACATATTCGTAAATTGCCTTGAACTACGAGCCCAGGCAAGATAGAAATATTTTTCTAGAACTGAACTGGAGATGTGCTTTTTGTTTTACGATCCAAAGCAGGTTATTTCTGTAAAACAGCAATGAGCAAGTGACAGGCTAGGATTTACTGTTAGAATTTGTTATTCTGCAGTCCAGACAGTAAGGACATCTGACTCAAGCTGTATTGTACAGCAACAGCAAAAAGACAACTGTCTCCCACACACATCTAAAGGAGATGGAAGGAAGTTTATGACCAGGAACTAAAAGTGGCTCTTTTATATGTTTTTGTAAAGGGACACGGTGTCTCAGTGGCTAAGACTCTGAGCTTGTCGATCAGAAAGGTTGGCAGTTCGGCGGTTCGAATCCCTAGCACCACTTCATGGAATGAGCTCTCGTTACTTGTTCCAGCTTCTGCCAACCTAGGAATTCGAAAGCATGTAAAAGTGCAAGTAGAAAAATAGGGACCATTTTGGTGGGAAGGTAACAGTGCTCTATGCGCCTTCAGGCATTTAGTCCTGCCGGCCACATGACCACGGAGACATCTTTGGACAGTGCTGGCTCTTTGGCTTTGTAATGGAGATGAGCATCGCCCCCTAGAGCCGGAAATGACTAGCACATTATGTGTGAGGGAAACTTTTACCTTTACCTATATGTTTTTGTAAAATTTATCTATTTGTAAAATTGATTAGCTGCCCTTTTATTTTTAACCACAAGGCAACTCTGGGTGGGTTACACTATTAAAAAAAAACCTGTACAAAACCTAATGCTATAAATACAATATTATAAAACAGGCAGATAATCAAACACGCTAAAAGATGGGGAGGGGGTAGAATGAGAAGGGGAGAGGGTGGGATGTGTTGTTGATCTATCAACCATGCCCAAGGTGAAAGCCCTCCATTGGCCGCCAGGCCAACTGGTGGAACCAGGTCTTTAAACTCTTGCAAAAGGTCAGGAGGGTTGCAGTAGAAATCACTCAGGGCGGGGAGGATGTTTCAAAGGGCAGGCGCAGAAGAGGCTCTTCTACTGGACCCCACCAAGAATCTCCTGGCCAAGGGAGCCCATAGCATGCCTCCTTTGCTAGCATGAAGTGAGAATGGGCCAATCCCAGTGGCATTAGACAGTCCTTTCGGTCAGGGGTCCCCAGCCCCTGGGCCATGGCCCATTAATTACCAGGGCTTGAGCTGTTTGGAATTGGGCTGGTGCTGAGGGGCAGGGGATGGTTTTGCTTGAGCAACAGGCAAGTATATGCATGTACACATTTACACGAGTGGTGTGTGCACGTGCCGACCACTCACGGGAGTGGAGTTCCATGCACGCTTGTCCATTGCTCACATAGAATGATGCCTTCCCCGTCCCCACCAGTCCTCAAAGCCAGAAAGGTTGGGGAACTCTTCCTTAGGTAATCTGGACCCATGCTGTTCCGGACTAGCAGGCTCGAAAGGCTGCAACTCTGATTGGCCCGCGAATAGCAGATCGTGATTGGTCACCGCAGACTGATCCGATTGGCTAGTAAACGGGCTGCTGCGATTGGCCCTGCCAAGAGCGGCAAACTCAAATCGCTTTCATTGGCTGCCTAGCCGCAGCCAGCCCTATATAAGGGGCTGCTGCGGCTGGGATTCTCCGCTCAGATCTGAAGTCACTAATAAAGAGCTGTTGTTGCTATCTGAGTCTTGCCTCCATTTCTGAACCATCCTCCCAGATCTAACACATGCCATGAAGGGCGTTAAAGGGGATTACCCATACCTTGAATTGAACCAAAAAGCAAACTGGCAGCTAGTGCTGCTCGCAAAGCAGTGGTGTTACATGAACCAACTTTGGGGCCCCAAGAACTACCCATGCCACTCTATTCTGCACCAGCTATAGCTTCCAAATACTCTTCAAGGGTATTCCCACGTAGAGCGTGTTGCAATAGTCCTAGTGAGAGATGAGTAGGGCTTGAATGATTGAATGCAGGGACTCCTGATTCAAGAGCGGCTGCAACAGGTGCCCAGTTTGAAGCTGTGTAAAGGTTCTCCTAGCCGTGATTTCCACCTGCTCTTTTGAGCAGGAGCTCCAAGTCCAAGAAAACCCTCATCAAGTTGTGGACCAGATCCATCTGGAGTAGTGCCACCTCATCCAGCACTAAAGATGTCAATGTCCCAGATATTGGGGTTCTGTTTTACCCAATGCCATTTGGCTTGCCAGGGTTCAGTCAAAATCTGTTGTCCTCCTACCATTCATCCCTCCACAGCCTCCAGTCACCATGAGAGGGAAGCAACTCTGTGACATTCCAGAGCCACAAACACTCTGATATTTATCGTCAAAACTCCTATAATTGTCCCAGTTTCCAAGCCGCTATTTTTCACCTAGCTACAGTTAGTACAACTTACAATTGTTAAAAATTAATTTATGAATAGTTGAACCCTCGCTGATGAAGAGACAACCATACGCTCCGTTGAAATCCACAACTATTTCAGTCTTCCTAATTCTCTTTCAGGGAAATAAGGGAGATTCTGGTTCTACAGGCCCGATAGGATCAGCAGGCCTTCCCGTAAGTATAGAGCCAATATTCCTCTCAGAAGATTTTTCTTTTTTAAAAAAATATATTTTTATTAAGTTTCTTTTATTACATCATAAAACTTCATAGTTTCATCAGCGTTCTTGGCATCTATACAGGTTCTTGGTTTAAATATCATAATACATTATATTACATTTGTCTAATATTAAATAATAACTTTAACTATAATTACTATTCTTATATCTTTGTATAATTTACAAATTTATATATTACTCTCTTAAGGATAAATTTCTCTCCAGTTAAATTTCTAGTCTTGTTTCTTGGTTCTGTTTGTTAACCATTTATACCAATTATTCCAAATTTTAAAAAATTCAGAGTCATCTCTTTCAGTTTCAGTGTTAACATATTCATCTCTGCGCTTTCCGTTACTTTATGTAACTGAAGATTTTTCATTTTGTGTTAATTGGATCCTACTGGGATGTCTTTTTTGAACATGCTAGAACAGGATGCTGGCTGGGGAATTCTGGGAGTTGAAATCCACACAGCTTAAAGTTTGCCAAGGTTGAAGAACGCTATACTAGAAGCTTTCAATGCTCTCCCTATAAACAAAAACAATAACAATGTTCTGCTTTATTTGCTAAGAAATTGTAAGGCTCAAAAAGGGACATTTTATTTGCCAAATCTGCTTTTATTTAAATTCCTGAATGGGGAAAATGTTCATGCAGATAAGCCCACAAGATGAGAAATCAAAATTAGGGAAGGATCCCTTTTGGAGTACTAGGGCAGAATACCTGGGGAAATATAGGTTATTAGAGGGTACATTTTCTGGATCTTCACAAAAATTACAGGTTTGAGGCAAATGGATGATGAGTTTAATTCTAAATATATATAAAACATAATTTTCAAAGTTGTAAAAATATATTATAGGGCTTTCAAGGACCACCGGGTGAAAAAGGAAATCGGGTAAGTCTTCAATCAAGCTTGTCTTTGATCTTTTAAAATGGTGGAATTATTAATTTTTATGGCATAGAATAGATAACATTCTAATAAACTGCATAGGTTTTCATGATTTTTGACAATCATACTGTTTGGTTAAAAAAAATAAAAAGTTTGGAATAAGTTTCACCAATGCCTTCGTTAAACTTAAAATTAACTTGCAATAAATATTTGTTGGCTAATTAGACATGTAACATGCCTTGGTTCATCTTCATCCTGTTGACATCACACATTAATCATTCTACTTCTAGTTATGTTCCATAATTTCTTCTAGATATAAATGCAGCCTTTAATAACAGAATGACTTCCTACTAAATAACCTAGCAACACCCTGATGTTTTTTTAGTTGGTTTTCAATTTGTATAGAATTTGAAAATACAACTTCCAATCTTTGTTAACTAAAGCTTGGGTTTTGTTCCAACAAATTGGTTGACTAATGAGACTTTGGGTGGAATCAGATAAACCACCATCCAGCTGGATGATGAATCTGGAAGGAAAGAATATGTTTAATTGTAATAAGCCATTGGGAGAAATTAGACGTGTTTTAGCTATGGCTCATAACGCAAGAGGAGCGAAAATGCAAAGGCATTTACTAGGAGCAAAAATCCAAAGCCTCAAATTGTAGCCTGTCTGGGTGGTATGTTTACAAACGAATTAGATAGAAGGATTTGAATTATTAGACCCAAACACCTACCATGCAGAAGTAGTCACTTAGTCTTTAATACTGAAGACATGTCCTTAGTCTTTTTCACATCTTAATGTAAAAAAAAAAAAGTTGCTAAAAAGCCTAATGCTTAGTACACATCCATTAAAGAAAAAAAAAAAAAGGCAATATGTAGCTTCTCAGAAATGCAGGCATCTAAATCTAGAAATGTAGACATTATCCTGTAATTCTGCACTCATCCTGCTGGACTGGTTCAGTATCTGTGAAAGCTGCATGAAAAGCTGGTGAAAAAAAAATCCCAGCTAGTTCCAGTCCCTTAATTTGACCCTGGTACTCTTTCCTCTTCTTCGTGGTAGTTTTAAGTTCTACCAGGAGAAAAGCAACCAGAAGGAACCAGCAAAGGAGACTCAAATCCAGTAGCAGGTTCTAATTCTTACCCCCAAATTGTTATCACCTGCAAGCTGGGCATTTCTTTTCTGCGGTTCCAGCCCGTTGATACCTCTTGAAGGATCTGGTAATCGTCTTAACGCAACGCAGTTGAGACGATTCGGTCCACATAATAAGTGGAAGGGACAGCAGAATGTTCTTGGAGCAAACCAACTGAAAAAATATCCGTGCTTAAGTTATCCGTTCAAGTGGAATTTGTTGATTCAATTTGTTCTTTTTTCTTCTCCTGTCTACTTGTGTGTTTGCGCGTGTGTTTTTTCCTTGCTTCCACAGGTCCGCCTTTGTCCCCCTTATCCCTTCCTGCTCTTCTGCCTTTTCTCCTGAGTCCTTCTTCCTCTTCCTGCGCAACCCAGTCTGCATTTTCTCCTGGATTATCCTTCCTCCATGCCAGCGTTTGATCCTCGGTGACCTCTCCTTTCCCATCCATTTTTTTTTCTCCCGCCAGCTATTTGTTTCGATCCCGATCATTTCACCCCTCCAAAATTAAAAACAAAGAGGGGGGAAAATCTACTTCAATCTAATTTTATGTTGTCATCTAATCCTTATACCAAGTACTAAATGAAATTTCCTTCCCGGCAGTCCCGCTTACATTATATATCCACAAGCACGCTATCAAAACTTGCATATGTTACTGACATTCTAAATTGGTCTAGAAAGGGAATATCGTTCTCTTACTAAATATTGGTCCTTGGCTTGATGTTGGCTCTGTTCAAAATAGACTGACCTCAGAGACATTGGAGGTAATTTTTCAGCTTTATACAGGAAGTTGGCTTCAGGCCCACAGTCTATTTTTATCCCCTTGAGGTTCAACTTCAAGAAGTTAAATAGGACACCACAGATTTAAATTGCTTTGCTAACTTGCCTCTCCTGTGAAATCAAAATCACAATAGGCCCTGGCTGCCCATCAGTTTAAAAACTGATATTTGGGGCTTTTTAAAATAACAGTTCAGCACTAACATTAGCTTGTATTCTTTTCAGGAAGCAAGTCAACTTTTAAAATGCCTTTTACATTTCTTGAAAAAATAGGGCTAATATCAGTAGTTGATCTGTCCAATTAGAATTGGTCCATACCACTGGTGGGATTCAAACAAATTTACTGCCGGTTCTGTGGGTGTGGCTTGATGGGCGTGGCAGGGGAAGGATACTGTAAACTCTCCAGTCAGAGGTGGCATTTGCTGGTTCTCCGAACTACTCAAAATTTCCACTATCAGTTACCCAGAACTGGTCAGAACCTGCTGAATATCACTCCGTACTGAATATGTGCAAATCAGATTGTGGGGTATTTAAATGGCCCAGTTAAATGGCCATCCACCAATCTTATGCAGCAGGAAATTATACTTGCATAGTATTTGGTGTCCCCATTGCCAGTCTCCATCATGCCAAGAACGGAATGGGACAATTCACCGCAGCCAACTCACCGCGGCCATCTTCCCACAGCCATCTTGCTACGGACAACTATCTGTGGCAATCTTGGCACAGCCATTTTGCCATAGCCAACTCGCCGCAGGACAACTCCCCATGGACCATTCCTGGTGGGATAACTCAATGTGATAAATGATATCTGTCAGTGTTTCTTCAACATTACTTCCATTTTTGTCAATGGAAATAATGTCAAAGAAATAGTCACAGCTAACATTTATCATGTTGAGTTATCCCACTTGGAATTGTGCACAGTGAGTTGTCCTGCAGCGAGTTGGCTGTGGTGCATTGTCCTGGCGCCAGTTGGCCATGGCAAGAGGGCCATGGTGAGTTGACCGTAGCGAGTTGTCCTAGACCCTGTCAAGAAGGTCCTGGTAAAAGTCGTGTTCTTCCTTTACAGTATGCAGGACACGTTAAGGAAATGGACTGATGGTTTCTCTTCCTCCAAGAAACTGATCAGCTGATGAAAAAAAATGTCCACCAGTCATTTACCCTTAATTTGAAATGAAGTTAGGATAAAGAAGAGGCACAAATATAAAACGATAGTCTTGGGAGAGACCTTGGAGGTGTTTTAGTCCAAACCCCCACCCAAGGCAGAAGACCCAAGGCAAGCAAGTTGCTGAGGGAGGCTTATCTGTTCATGTTTGGCACATAGGAGGCAATGTGATAGCACAGTATTTTGTGATCGCTGCTCCCTCCCTCTCATTCTCACTCATGGGATTCCCGAGAATCAGGCTAGATAGATTTGTCCTGGGAGAAAAGCGCATCTAGAAACATATCCTTGCAGTTGTTGGTTTTTTTTTGCTTATTAATGACCACCAAGGGAAAAAAAAAAAAGACCAATGACTCCCATGAAATCAGATCATTGATTACCTCCTTGGGTCTTCCTTAAATTAGAAGCTCCCACCAAATGTAAGAGAATGAATGCTGGAAAAGCACAGGAAACTATTGGTCCCCTGGCACAGCTTTCGAACATCTTGGCCTCGCTCTCACCATCTGACGAGTGAACGTGGGAGAGCAAATCCCTTTTCCTCCTTCTAATCTGAAATGTTTAAACGCGGCTTCAAAGGGCACTCCTCTCAAACGCAAAAGTAAAAATTCCCCAGTGTTCATGCAAAACCGTTTCCTGCAAAAGCTTAAAGAATTAAGCCTCCGGAGGGACTGTTTGTATCATGTTATATTTTGTTTCTATAACTCAGACGTGGATTAGATGGTCCATTTATGTGTATATTTCTTTTTTAATAAACTATTATTCACAGGGGGAAAGGGGCAAGAAAGGCTCTAGGGGGCCTAAAGGGGATAAGGGAGACCAAGGAGCACCTGGATTAGACGCACCTTGTCCATTGGTATGTTTCATTTTTATCACGCGTATTATTTTCAACTAAGCCACCTGGGGGGGAAAAAGAAGGAGTGAAGGCATTAGTAGTTTGTCTATGGAGATTCTCAATTATCAAGGTCCTGGTTGTCCCAGGGGTGTTTTTTTAAAAAGGCAACTGGTCTTTCTTATTTTTTTTTCTTCCTTGAAAACATTTCAATATAAAAAAATCTTCTTGGATGAGAAATGTTAGTTTACTTTATTGCCATTGCACCTCGTACAACGAAATCGAACACCGTCTTCAGTGCACGTCATGAGCATGAAAATAAACACAAACACGCATCCTTCACACCCCAAACATTGAATTGAAAACCCCTGACACCGCACCAACACTGCACTATACAGCAGAATTCAACAGAGCTACTGCCCTGGGATAGAAGCTGTTTTTCAGTCTGTTTGTCCTTGTTTTTATTATTCTGTACCGTCTGCCAGATGGTAATAGTTCAAAAAAAGGGTGCCCGGGATGAGATGGACCTTTGAAAATGCTTTGAACTTCCTTAAGGCAGCGGGAGCTATAAAACTCTTCCAAAGAGGGGAGAGGGCAACCAATGATCTTCTGGGAAATGATGTTAACCCTCTGGAGTGCCGTCCTATCTGCCACTGTGCAATTGGCAAACCACACAGAGGTGCAATAAGTTAAGATACTCTCTATGGTGCAGCGGTAGAAGGTCACCAGCAGTTTTTCATTCAGTTTCTGTTTTCTGAGAAGTCACAGCAGGGGTGGGATTTAAATTTTTTAACAACCGGTTCTGTGGGCATGGCTTAATTGGAGGGCGTGGCTTGATGGTCATGTGACTGGGTGGACATGGCTTGGTAGTCATGTTATTGGCTGGGTGTGGCCAACTCAATATCACTCACATCGAGGCACGCATCTCCTCGCCTGGCCTCTCATATACTGTGGGGATGCTGCAACAGTCATAGGTGTGAAAAATGGTCATAAGTCACTTTTTTCAGTGCCATTGTAACTTTGAATGGTCACTCCACACAAGCAAAGTACCAGCAAAGAAGGGGAAAAAAACTCCAGAGACATTCCTGAGGCAGGAAATCTAGTCCTGCCAAGAATGTAATAAGGGTTAACAGAAGCAGTTTCTGTAAGCAACACCAGAATGTTTCCTTCCTGCCTTCCTTACAGGATTAGGCCAGTAATTTCTTCTAACAACCAGTTCTCCCAACTGCCTAGAATGTTAACAACTGGTTCTAGCAAATAGGTGCAAACTGGAAGAATCCCACCCCTGAGTCTCAGGTAATATAATCTCTGCTGGGCCCTTTTGACCAGTGCTGCAATGTGAGCACCCCTGGTCAGGTCCTCTTTTATGGTAACACCCAGAAACTTAAAACTGGCCTCTTGCCTCACTCAGTCTCCATTGACAAGCAAGGACTGGATGTCTGATCTGTTCCTTCTATAGTCCACTATAAGCTCCTTGGTCTTATTGGTGTTGAGGACCAAGTTATTGTCTCCATACCACGAAAGCAACCAGTCCATCTCATCTCGGTAGGCTGACAAGTGAGATGCTTTCAAGGAAAAAAAAAAACCAAGAAAATCCAGTAGCCTTTTGAAAAAGCACTTTTGGGCACTAGTCATTGATTATATTACAAGACTGACTTTAATCATCTGTATGATTGGATATGGAAAGAAATATAAATGAAGTTTTTGTAACACCTGGATTCCCCCCCAAAAAGTAGAAAAACGTGAGCTTTCTTCACTCGCTTCTTTAAACATTAAGGCCAGTTCATCCTCACAATGCGATTTGAGTGTCTTAGCTTGGCTAGGTGAATTATGTTGCACTGTTGTGTCATGATACAATATGAAAGTTGGGCACTGCAGTTGGATCTGCAATATGGTCAAGTCATCACTTGAGGCTGCAGTTATTGGATGAACGTGCCTAAATCACAATCTAAAACGCCTTCTTTTTTCCCCATGATCATTTAATAAATGATGCAATTAATGTATGGTTGATAAGGATGTAATGCACTCAGTTTATGATCCCAGCAGACAACAAAAGGATCATGGTGTGAAGAAAAGGAGAATACTCTTGACGTAAAACTATTTTATTAATGGTCTTTTAAAAGACCCCACCACCACCACCACATACTCCTATTTAAAGCTTAATTTCAAACATGGGCCACTTTATAGAAATTTTTACCATTGGTTCTTTACCTTCTATATCCAGAAGGAAATCATATTTTTACAACTTTTTACAATTAAATAATACTTTCTGGTTATTCCAGAAAACAAAACAAAAGTGGCTTATCCTTTTTTCACCATGATATACCAATATCCTGTGGCTGTAAGCTAAGTGCATTTAGTACATAATTGTTCACAGAGTTTCTCCACTCAGAAAATGCAGATCATCTACACTGACCAAAGTAATTCTAGTGGTTGATTTCATGAACAGGGACTCCGAGGTTTTAAAGGCGAGAAGGGTGAGCCGGGGTTACCAGGGCTGGACGGGCTGGATGCCCCTTGCCCATTGGTATGGTGTTTCCTTCCCTTTCCTGCATGTTCTAGATTGTGTTGGTTCACCTGCTCTTGCCAAGTCTCTTTCCTTTCCCTTCTGGCTGCTTTCCAGATCATTGATGCTCAGGGTGCTTCTAGGCAGATATTTTTATTATCTGACCCTTCAACAGTCCTTTTTTAAATCGAGATAAAAGATGGAAGCGGGGGGGCGTGTTATGAGTCTTCATAACACGCAAGGGTCTTATGAATCTTCATAACAAGCAAGGGTCTTATGAATCTTCATAACAAGCAAGGGTCTTCAAACTTGGCAAGTTTAAGACTTGTGGGCTTCAACTCCCAGAATTCCTGAGCCAACGTGACTGGAGGTGGAATTCTGGGAGCTGAAGTCCACAAGTCTTAAACTTGCCAAGTTTTAAGGAAAAGCAAGCAAAGATTTGAATGGAAGATGAGTGTCAGAATCTCCCTTATGGATAAAGTATAATTACACAGCAAACATGGGGCCAGAAGCACCCCAAGCATCGTGCTTGACTGCTTTGGAAATGACTTAGTTGCTACTACCATTTTCCTTGCCCTACAAGAGTCAATCCTGGATTTTAAAAGCTTCAGACTTGCTTTACTTCTTTCTTAACCTAACTCTCACAACATTTCTTGTTTACTCCTCTAAAACCTTCGTCTGCACCCAAAACACCTGGTTGATCCAGATGGAGAGAAGAGGGCTCTTTGAAAACCCACCAATCCCAAATCATAAATTTGATCATTTATATCATTTGTTCTTGTTCTTATTTATGGGAGCAGTTTCCAGTCAAGAACTTCCTCTCAGAGGTGATAATATCAAATTATTTTATTAAAAAAATCTGTGCTGTCTTTCACTCATGCAAGTAAGATCTAGGACAACACTTGGATAAAATAATTGTAAACAAAATACCATGAAACATAATAAATAAATAATTTTGATTATTTTTCCCGAGTGTTGTCCTAGCTAGATCTTACTTAATAAATAAACTGACATAATAAATGTTACTTGTGTTTAGCTTATTTTGTTTTGAAATAATCTCCAGGTGTTCTGATAGGACGGTTAACCCTTTCTGCACCAACTCTTACTGTGTTATGTTGGAGCAGTTTGCTTCATTTGGGAATAAGATCCCAACAGCCATTTGTACTATTTATTTGGGGGGTGAACACAGGGAAACCATTTGGTTTACTTTGTTTTCATAAAAATGGGAAGCCTCCTTGAAGTGACAGAAACACACAACAATAGCAATTGTTATAGAAAAAATCCTGTTGCTTTTCCAATCTTATTTTGAGCATTGTTTGGCAAAAACATACAATATTGGATAATTCCATCTTCCCTTAGGGGCATATTTAAACCCATAATCATCCATGTAAGTTTTTAAAATACACAAATTAATTGAACGCACCATTGCATAGGATATGCATAGGGTAAATGTTGAACAACATATGGAATATAAAATGGATCAGATTAGCTGGAAATATTACTGAGAATCAGATAAGGTTCTCAATAGCACTTTTAGCATGGAAACAAAGAATTTCATCAAGGAATCTGGATTAAATTCTCAAATTCTAGTTATTTAAAAGCCTAACCATTTTTGCTCATTCTGCATACACTGTAATTTAAACAATTAATGTTTGCTTTGGGGGCAATTTTGGAAATCACATCCTGTATGTATATTTGCATGTATCTGACTGAATATTTTGATTGTCACAGTGAAACCTCAAAAATGTTCAACACTTCTAATTTCAAGAAATGAAAAGTCTGATATTTTTAGGACTAGTTCCAATTACTTTGTTGCCAAATTTTCTGTAGGATAATCTACATTTATTGGTGTTATTTTGTTAAAGACATACATATATATCCATCATTCATGTAGGTCCAGAAATACATTTTGTAAAACAAAACAAAACAAAGCATTAAGAATGACAGTTTTTTCTTCTTTACATTCTTAAATTAATATGCTTTCTGACTCAAGCATGCCAGCTACTTAACATTTGCCTTGCATTCTGTGCAAATTTAGAGATTATGCTTTTTCAACTTAATTTTTCCTTTTTACTACTGTATGTTTCCACTCCCAGCCTTTGCAAAGAAATATACCTTTGTGACCATATCCTGCTGTTGATCCCTGAGTTGTAACCCCTGTCACACTCTCTAACTTTGGGGTTTATGTGCAATGCACTATATAATTCATTCCCATCAATGGGATCATTGTACCAATGGAATCTGCTTCCACTTCTTAATAGAACCGTAGCGGTTGAATTTTACAGATGTGAACATTAGAAAAGTGTTTGATTTAGAAAGCACCCGATAATGTAAAGGCCAAAATCGTTACTTAAGATGCTTCCATGCAAGGATTATTGCACCAGCTCTGGTCCTCTGTAATCCCAGGATGTCCTCAGCAGCGTTTGGGATTGGAGTCAATTTATCTCAAACTCAACCACAATGTATTTGAAACTGCCACACAGCAACCTTTCTCTTTTGCCTTTTCCTGGAAATCACGTAAGTATACGGAAAAAAGTGGACAGGCTAGTTCCCTTGAGTGGAATCTCTTCGTACCACACATATTCTGGCAAGGATTTTAAAGGAGAATGGGAACTTGAAGGTTTTACAGCTCTCCTCACAAAACCATCTTTTTATTTGAGAAGGGCACACAAACAGATAAATCCATACAACGTGAACGTTGTGTTGGTATCCACATATCCATTGCCCTTTCAGGAGTCCCTGAGTGTATCTTCCCTCTGCATTGAGTTATACTGGTAGTCCTCGACTTACGACCACAATTGAGCCCAACGGTTCTTTTGTTAAGCTCTCGAGATAGTTGTTAAGTGAGTATTGCCCCATTTTTATAACTCTTCTTGCCACTTGTTGTTAAATGAATCACTGCAGTTGCTAAGTGAATCTGTCAACTAAAAAGATACTCCTTTGGTCTTTTGGGCTGCCCGAAAAAGGGAGTGGGGGAAAACAAGGCATTCCTTAAATGCCTAGATAATCACCTCAGCAGCCCAAAGTTGTCGGAGCATAAGAAGGTTATTGGAGAGCATGATGGATGACTCTTGGAGACGGATGTGTCCCGTTGGACAAGTCACATCCAGGGGGTGGGGGGAAGTCCAGGGTCAAGGGGGAAATGTATGATGTAATTTAGTATCGGCTGCACCCAGCCACGTGCGCCAACATAGCAACCTCTAATAAATCAATTTACTCTTCTCTGAGATGCGGCTAGAGACTTTTGAATGGAATGAGGGTGGAATTGTTGGAGCCCTGACAGCCAGCCGATACTATATCTAACATCTGACATCTGGCTTCCTCATTGACTTCGCTTGTCAGAAAGTCACAAAAGGTGACCATTGTGACCTGGAAACACTGCAACCGCCATAAATGCGAGTCATTTGCCCACGCATCTGAATTTCAATCACGTGGCCATGGGGAGGCTGCAGCAGTCTTAAATGTGAAAAAGGGCCATAAGTCGCTTTTTTTTCAGTGCTGTGGTAACTTCAAATGGTCACTAAATGAATAGTTGTAAGTAGAGGACTACCTGTGCTCAGAAGCCTAACAAGGAACATTTGAAGGAAAGGCCTGATCTTTCTCGACCAGTAATAGCTCCATCCTTGAAGTGGTCTTCACAGCCATCACAGGAATTAATGGGAAGCCTTTCCGGTTTTGATGGCCCTCGATTTCACATACCAGTAGATCGTAGTGGAAGGCTCAACGTCAATTCAGTGATGGGGAACTTGGACGTGTGTATTTTGCGATATAGAACTTAGCATCACTTTGGCATCCACTCTCTAAGCAAGATGTATTTCACTAGGTCAACTTAATTGTTTTGCATGCGTGTACAGATTCTATGTTTATAATTTTTTCCCCCTGTTTTAGTCTCTTCCTCTGTCCTGATTGTATAATTCTTTCTTCTAGGGGGAAGATGGATTGCCAATTCAAGGATGCTGGAATAAGGTAAAAATTCCTCAAAGTATAGCATGTTATGATACTGGTTTTATTGCATGTTGTGAATATAGTAACAAATTCTAAAGCATGAAAGTGGTATAGCAACATATTACCTTTCTATTTAGTACCATAGGTATATGACAGTTACATTAAATATTACATGTTGATTAGGGCAAAATGATACAAAAAATTTTTCTCGTGAGATGCTACTCAACTTTTCGAACGAAGTTCATTAACTCTGGTGGGGATTTTATCTTCTGAGGGTGGTAGCAGTTCGGAATTCAGAAGAGAAAATTTGTGTGCCTCTTAACTCTCAAGGGATTCGGTGGCTCAGTGGCTAAGACGCTGAGCTGGTCGATCAGAAAGGTCAGCAGTTCAAATCCCTAGCGCCATGTAATGGAGTGAGCTCCTGTTACTTGTCCCAGCTTAGCAGTTCGGATCAGTGGTGGGATTCAAATTTTTCCACTACCGGTTCTGTGGGAGTGGCTTGGTGGGCGGGGCAGGGGAAAGATACTGTAAAATCTCCAAGCAGAGGTGGGATTTGCTGGTTCTCCAAACTATTCAAAATTTCCACTACTGGTTCTCCAGAACTGGTCAGAACCTGCTGAATACCCCACCTCTGGTTTGGAAGTATGTAAAAATGCAAGTAGAAAAATAGGGACCACTTTGGAGGGAAGGGAACAGTGCTCTATGAGCCTTCAGCGTTTAGTTATGCCAGCCACATGACCACGGAGACATCTTCAGACAGCGCTGGCTCACAGAGCCGGAAATGACTAGCATGTATGTGCGAGGGGAACCTTTACTTTTAAAATCACAAAAATGTCTGTTTAAAACAGAAGAGATTCCTCACAGATTCCAGAGTTTGAGTGTATAATTCAATATCACACCAACATTTTTTAACATTTAGAAAAATTTCCATGAATCTAATTATCTGTATTTAGATAGTATTATATGTAATACTATTCAAAAGTACCACAAATTCTCAGGATTATATTGTATGGATCAATGACCCCTTAATTTTTTACACCACCAACGGGATGGGTGATAGTAACATAGTTTTATATGTTTTTCTTTTGCAGTGAATATTCTAACCATGGACTGGCCTGTGTGTCTGTGTGTATGTTTGTGCATAGAATATTTATTTTTATACATTGTTCTTTTTTGAAAGTGCCAACAGATATGCATAAAATGCTGCATATTTTTGTACATACGATGCTACAATTCTGCTTTATAGCTGCCAGTTGCTTGTATAATTATATATATGTCGATAACCATGCTTTTTGCATTGTGGAATTCAGCTGCAATATTGGCATATTTGTGCACTCAAAGTAAATGCCAAAGCTTAATAAGCTATTGGATAAGGATGCCAGAAAGAACTATTCCATGTACATACAAAGACACAAAAAAATGCCAATGAGTGCAAGGACATATCAAAATACTATGGATCTTTATTATTAAAAGGAAATGAAATAGAATTTGTAAATAAATTCTATACTAGTATTTTAATGTGCAAAATGAAATCAATGTAGTAAGAGGTAACAGTGGCAATTCATCTTCACTTTCCCTTACACACAAAGGGTAGAAGCACAACATTGTTCAAAAGTGAGAATAACAAACTAGTCATATGTATATACACCCTAAAAAGGTTCCTAATGTCTTTAATGGGTCAAGATCAAGTCGATTTTTTCCTATCAGATTCTGAACAGAAGCACAATTTTTGATGCAAAATTACAGAGATCTTAAAGGCAACTCTGATCAATTTATCAAATAATGGAAATTTCTAGCATTTGTACATAGCTTTTCAAGAGATTCAGGAACTATGCAGAATGAGCCTTCAGAGGCAAGGACTAATCAGGAGCGACCCTGGTCCTGTGCTCCCTCCTCCACAAATTTCAATTTTTACAATATCCTTGTGCCACTGGGTCCATTTAATGCTCCCTTGAAGGAAATTCTTTAAGGGCAACAATGCAGAAAAGAAAAAGCTAACAGACACACCCTTTTCTCAGAGCTGGAGATATTTTGTAAAGAACTGGAAGGGAAATGGTATACACTGCTTTCTCCCTGCCTCATAATCTCAGCATCAGGCTAAATAGAATTTGGAAGGTTGTCATAATGGGTTAGGATTGCCATTATTAAGAGCCATAGTGGCGCAGTGGTTAGAAGGCAGTATTGCAGGCTGACTCTGCCTACTAACAGTTCGATCCTGACCTGCTCAAGGTTGACTCAGCCTTTCATCCTTCCGAGGTCAGTAAAATGAGGACCCAGATTGTTCGGGGAAAATATGCCGACTCTGTAAACCACTTATAGAGGGCTGTAAAGCACTGAGAAGTGGTACATAAGTCTAAGCGCTATTGGTATTGCTATTATTCAAAATGCATTCAAAGAGATTTGAGTCGAGGGAAATTTTGTATTGCATGTGTGCATTTCAATCCCAACAGCTCTAAGTGATCGCCATGAAAGATCAGGACTGTAGAAGAAACAGAAATTACACAGTATCATTTTCTTTGACTCACATAAACTCTTTCTAAAGCTACCATTTCTTGGGCCCATTCATTTCTATTTCTTCTAGGCAGCTAGCAGCTTGAGGAAAAGCTATTTGGCAAAGAATAGTCCCAGAGCAGTTCTATTAATCCCCTGAACCACAAAATGGGTGGCAAATAAATTTGATAAACAAGTAAATAAATAAATATGACTCTGTTTTTGTGCCTTCTATCGTAATTATAAGAACTCCGATTGCCAAATTGTAGCTGTGTCTTTGGTGATCTCGGTGAATAGTTTACACCAGTGTCTCTTAAACTTTTTGAATCTCAGGATTCCTTCCCACTTTTAAAAAATATGGTAGATCCCAAAAGAGATTTTGGTTGTATGGATTATATTTATCGAATAGAATAGAATAGAATAGAATAGAATAGAATAGAATAGAATAGAATAGAATAGAATAGAATTCTTTATTGGTCAAGTATGGTTGGACACATAAGGAATTTGTCTTGGTGCAAATACTCTCAGTATACATAAAAGAAAAGATACATTTATCAAGAATCATAAGGTACAACATTTAATGATAGTCATAGGGTACACTAAGCAATCAAATCATACTAGGAAACAGTCCATATAAATCGTAAGGATACAATTTATATCAATGTTTATTACATTAAAAATTACAGTTGGTGCATTTGCTGCCACTGTCACTTCTTATAATTGTTTGATGGGATTTTAACATAGTATTTCTCAACAAAGGCTGGCAAATAATATGGATTTTGCATCCCCTGAGAGGCTCTTGGGAAACCCCCAGAGTTTGAGAAACACTGGTTTATATTCTGTTAGACTAGACTTGGATAACAAATGCTAGATGTTTGTCTTGTTGCTTTTTTCTAGTCTTGGGCATAATATATTCCCTCCCTCCAACTGACCATCGCACTTCTTTATATTGAATTTTGCAAAACTAACAGAGTTGGTTGCATTGAGGTTTTCTATATTATATTTCTATAATCCGACCAGCAAATTCTGGCTGCCATCACTGACTACAATAGTGTGCAGTGTTTAAATAGTGTTTAAATCTTACTAGAGGTTTAAATAAGTCCATAAATAAATAAATAAACCCATAAATAACTCCACAGGCAGTCCTTGAGATACAACCATTCATTTAGTCACCAAAGTTACAAAAGCACTGAAAAAAGTGATGTATAACTGGTTTTCTCACTCAGGACGGTTTCAGCGTCCCCATGGTCACATGATCAAACTTCAGGCGCATGGTAACTCACATGTATTCATGATGCTTGCAGTGTCCTAGGGTCATGTGATCACCACCTGTGATCTTCCAACAAATCAATGGGGGGGAGCCAGATTCATTTAATGACTGCATGATTTCCTTAACAACTGTGGTGGTGATTTGCTTAACAACTGTGGCAAAAAGATCATAAAATGAGGCACAACTATGGCCTCGCTTAGCAAGGAAATTTTGGGCTCGATTGTGGTTGTAAGTCAAGGACTACCTGTGCTGCACCTTACTGTGCAACTCCAAGAGGCCTTTACCACTCGTGTCTTAGATTCATTTGACACAATATGCCATGTACTTATGGTGCCAGTTACTGATCTGAGCGATGAACTGTAGGAAAACTGAAAATATACGGCTGCAAATGACAGTTACTTTTCTAAAGTATGGTACAGGTATAGAGGGGGCGCGGTGGCTCAGTGGCTAAGATGTTGAGCTTGTCAAGCAGAAAGATTGGCAATTCAGCAGTTCGAATCCTTAGCACTGCGTAATGGAGTGAGCTCCCGTTACTTGTCCCAGCTTCTGCCAACCTAGCAGTTCGAAAGCATGTAAAAATGCAAGTAGAAAAATAGGGACCACTTTGGTGGGAAGGGAACAGCATTCCATGTGCCTTCAGCATTTAGTCATGCCGGCCACATGACCACGGAGACGTCTTTGGACAGCGCTGGCTCTTTGGCTTTGTAACGGCGATGAGCACCACCCCCTAGAGCTGTAAATGACTAGCACATATGTGCAAGGGGAATCTTTACCTTTACCTTTTACAGATGAAAATGGCAACTAGAGGTGGGCCCTAGCACTATAACACAAATACTGAACTTGCAGTTAGAAAAGGCAAATGTAGATCTCACTGTAATACACAACACTGCAGCACAAGATAAGTAATTCCAATTTCCAAGGGTGATTTTTACCTAGTGTTTATGCAAATAGAAGCAGCGTTTTTATTACCCCTGATGAGACCTTTCTGTGTAAAATAATTACGTCTGTCCCTTAAAGGGTCAAACTCCTTGGCTGATAGCAAAATAATGAAACAAGTAAGAGAGTGCAGATAACTTGTGGAAGGTCTACGGCGATGACCGAAGAACCTCTTGCTCAAAGATTTGCTGAAGATGTTGCATTGCCGCCAACGAGCATCGTCATGTTCTTGAGTCATGCACATCGGAGTTTTGTTCCTGAACGCAGGCCTGGTGAGGCTACAGAAGATGGACTCAGCAGCGGGTTTTTGCTCCCTCCTTTCAGAGTCAGCACAAAGTTGATCAGGAAAGAAATTGGCTTCTGTTTCCTACTTTTTCCTTTTCAGTTTGGTTTGTGATGGAAGCCTTCAGTAAAGAGCTCAACCACGTTGTCTAACATGGTGTGAAATGTATTAGGACAACGGTTCTATGACTGCTGGATTTTTTTTTTTTAAGGACTTTCCATTTGAATCTAGATTTTCGAATAGCCCAGTGAAAATACAACCAGTTCAACCAGTTCATCACTTTCTGCTTGCCAGTTGATGAACCTTCATGTACTGTATTCAGATTTGATGATTCCCTCCTCAATACTTTCACAGATTCTCTTCGAAAGCAAATGAATTAATTTTCTTCCAGAAAGTTATTTCTTTTCAGTGTAGTAAAAAATCATTTTCATTTTAGCATTGTTTTCATTGTTTTAGTAATTTTTGGACTTGTATTTTTTGTCTTGGAAACATATGGCTTGAAGTTTGTCCTGATAATATATTATATAGATTTTTTTCAACACAACTGTCCCAGTACTAAAACTTAGAGATTACTGCTTTTATAGTAGGGGGAAAACCATTAACCAAAAAAGTAAAACACTTCGCCTTTGATTCTATTACTGAAGATTTTTAGTAAATTATTTTTATACCGTTCTGCAAAAATAATAATTATTTACAATATAGTTGCAGTACCGCACAGTTTATCAATGTATATTCATCCCTTTGTTTGCATATATCAACTTTAAAAAGAATGAGATATTCTGACTTCTGGAATGTCTTCTTTTATGACGATATGCTCAAACAATCAATTTTGTTTCTTTGATTTTTTTCTGATCTTTTTGTATTTATTAGATGTATACCTCTTCGTGAAATATCAGTCCAAACATACAATCTGGTGTCTTGAACAACAACTTGCTGGCATAGAATAGTCTTCCAAATTTTTGGAACTGATTCATACATGAACTCTATAGGCCTTTTGAAGCATTGGGAAATATCTGGATTAATAACTTTGTCCATTTAAAAGGGTGATAATAAATGAAGTAGAAATGCTTGTTGAATCAAACACCTTTCCATGAATAATAATTCTTACTTTCTCTTCCTGAGATAGCTCCCTCCAAATCCTTAAAATTCTATTTCTGAATACTGAAGGAAATTGTATAAGATATTCATTGAGGATCCTAAAGGTAATGGCTTTCTCTTAATGAATGGAAGCACATACATAATCCAATGCAGCCTTTTGTGATTCGTTTTCCAAGCACAAGATTCTGAACTTGTACTATTCTATTCAGTGAAGCTGTAGAAGAGTTTTTAAGCAGGAGAAAGAACTTGTAAAAATTACTTTACCGTAAAAACTAGGTAATACCAAATTGTCACTTTTTAAGCTTTATCTTATAGCAAAATCAGAAATAAATCTGAATGATCCAAGATTTTTAATGCTATTTTTCATTCATC